GTGGGGTGCGGGGCTTCCCGCTCTCATCTCAGCACTTCTTGGAAGCCGCCACAAGGGCAAACCCCGCTTCGAATTCAGAACAACTTTCCGTGTGCCCACAGAGCAAAGTGCTGGGGAGGGGTTGGTTGCTGGGGGCTGCAGGGCGTTGGGGCACAGCTCACACCCATGTGCTGGGGTCACAGCAGGGCTGGGCTGGTGGCTCTGACTCACCTCAGGATTTGGGGCTCTGCAGCCCCAGTGAGAAGCAAAACCACAGCACAACGGCTGTGCGCTGTGGGGCTGAGATGTGCCGGGTGGGGCCGCTCATTGACTGTGCAGCATCACCCACCCGGTGCCCCAGCGGCAGCTGCGAGGATAACAGGGCATCATCACCTGCTTGGGCTTCAGCATTAGGAGGTGCAAAGGGAAACTTTGTGAGGGTGCCTGCTGTGAGTGTGGCCCTCCTTCAAGCCCCGCGTTCCTACAGCCCGTGGGCTTCAGGAAAAGAAAGCGTTGCCGTGCTGTATGCACGCTTCCACGCCTGTTGCCCTGCTGCGTCTGCATCGAGCAGTGGCTCCGGGAGCGCAGGGAAACGCCACGCAGCTTTTGTTGCTCTTCCTGTAAAGCGGAGGAGGAACGCACAAAGCCTCAGCCCTGCTCGGCTCGCCGTCCCCCGACACTGGGGGATTTCCTGCGGCCGGGCGCCCCGAGCTGCCGCTCAGCTCCGCGCCCAGCCCGCGCAGCCCCGCACAGCCCCGCACCCCCCGCCCCGCGCTCACAGCTGCTGCTCCCGGGCCGCGGCCGTCCGGCGGGGCCGGGAATGGAAATCCGGGAGATGACGTTTCTCCCATGGAAGGAGGAGGGGGGGCCAAAGTTTGACCGCGCGGGGAAGATGTTGGCGTCGGCCCGGAGCTCCGCTTCAACTCTGCCCCCGTTCTGAGCTCCGCACCGCCCCGTGCCGCCGTGCCGTGCCGTGCCGTGCCGTGCCCGGGAGGACGTCCTGCAGCTCTGCCTCCGTCGGCCCGCAGTGCCGGCGATGCCGGGCTCGTGCTGGGGCGGAAGGAAGGCGGAAGGAAGGCGGGAGCCGCGCGGGCAGCGCCGGGCGGGCTGTAATGCGCGATGCCGCTGCCGGAGGGCTCCTATCTGCCGCCCGCCGCCTTCGTGCTGAGCCACGTCCTGGGCATCGCCGGCGTGCTGTACTGGCGGAGCCGCAGCGGGGCAGGTAGGGGCGGCGGGGCCCGGAGGAGCGGTGGGGCCGCGGGGGCTGCGCGGTGCCCCCGGGGGGCATCGGGGCGGGGGGTCCGGCGCCGCTTTTTGTGTCGGTGCGAACCCCGCACGTGGTTGCGTTCTGCTGACGTCAGGCGGGCGCTCGGTGCCGCAGAGCAGCTCGCTGCTCGCTCACCCGGCCTCAGTTTCCCAAAATAGGGACTGCTGCGCTCCCGGCGCGGCTCCTCGCAGGGCTCACGAGGGCTGAGCGGTGCCCTCGCTGTCCCGGCCGCCTCCTGCCCGCACCCCTCCTGGTTTCTGCGGCTCCAGCCCTCCCCGGGGCCATGAGAAAACACGAGGGCCTCCCCTCCTTCTGCTCTCCTTGCTCTCCTTTCCCCCCTTACACTTGTGGCAGGTGCTTCCTGTCCCCCAAACCTCCATGGCCGATATAAATCTTGTTGCCAGCCCGACCTGCGTCAGGGCTTGTGGCCCGGTGGGCATTAAGACCCCTTCCAACCCAGCACCCCCAAGCTTGGAGCTCATCCTGCACCCACTTTGTGCCCAACCCGGCTGTGCTGCATCCCCGCTCCCGGGTGTCCCCGCGTCCCGTGCCATCGTTTGTGGGACGGTTCTGCACTGCAGGTCTCTGTGCTGCGTTCCTCTCGGGCTGAGTCACAGCCGTCTCCTCTCCCCGTTTCACAACGCTGCTGTGCGATTAACTCGGCTGTCGTGACGGATTATGTCAGTGCTCACATTGGCAGCCAGCACGTTTCGGATCCGTCGCGTTCCGGGCAGTTTGCTGCATGTTCCCCATCTTGGAAGAACCACGTTTAAAAAAACGCATCCCCTTTATTTTCATGTTTTGAAGGAGTTTGAAGTGCAAGTGAGTTGCTTCACAGTTTCAAGTTTGTTTCCAAATGTGTCTATGGAACAAAACCCTCCTTCACCCTGTCCGGCCGGGTGCTGCAGTGCACAGAGCGGCTTTCATGGCGTGCGCGGCTCAGAGACGTCCCTGCAAGCTGTGCTCTGTGCCACAGCGCAGGGCTGAGCTGCTGCTGGAGCAGAGCTGCAGGGAGCCCACGTGGGACCCCACTGCCCCTCACCTGTGTGTGCTGGGACAGGCTGTGCTGCTGGACACGCTTTTCACCCCATTGTATCGCTTCACCCCATTATATCTGATGCCTCTGTTTCTGGGCACCAGAGAGCAGATGTGGGGCAGATGTGGGGCAGGGCGGTTCTCCCATTCCCGGAGTGCAGCTCCGCAGTGGTGCTGGGGCTGTGCCCAGACTCGCTGGGTTTGGGTCTCCTCGCAGCCTCACCTGCTTTGGGAACGCAGCAACACAGAAGCGTGGCACGTCTGTGCAGCTCTGAAGCATCCAATGTGCTGAAAAGCACCGGCCGGTGTTGGCACAGGCGCGTGATGAAGGATTTCGGGCGCCCGATGGCAGCAGGATCTCTGTTGGCAGCCGATGCTGCTCGCTGCACAGGGAGTGATGGTCCAAGGTCACCAATTGCAGCCCCACTGTCACTGCTGTGCCACGGCCATCGGCAGCCATGGGGACGGGGGGTCAGTGGTGGGCAGGGACAGACCGGGAAGCGCGGGGGGGCTGCAACAGGTTGCATGGGGGTGAGTCTGGGAAAGATTATCCAGTGGGGATAAGCTTGCGAGGCCTTAATATTGTTAGCCAGCAGCAGCCGGGCATTATAATTAGCTGGGACGATGGGGTGTGCACAGCCCAGTTAGAGTCACAGCCCTCTGGGGGTGGTGAAACGGGGCCAAAAAGGGCAAAACACGGCTTCTGCGCAAGATGGGCGCAGGAAGAGCACCCGGGAGCCCCCGGCCCACCCCAACCTCACTGCGCAGCACTCGGTGACGTGTCCCTTCCCCACGTGCCCTTGCCATGCGCAGGGACACTGCTGCCTTTCCCCGGGGCTGGGACCTGAAGGTCTGCAGCAGGATTATATTTAGAAGAAAAGGAAGAGAGGAGGTGATAAAGGAGGCACCCGTTATCTCCCCGCATGCCGGGCAGGACGGCAGCCCACAGCCGGAACCCAGCGCCAGCGCTTCAGACCTGGGACGTCGCTGGTGAGGAGAAGAGCGCTGGCGGGGAGGCGCGAGCAGGGAAAGAAGCCCGGCTTTGTCCGTCCTGGCATTGTCCGTCCTGGCCCCGTCCGCACAGCCAGTGCAATTAACTGGAAAACAAGAGGGGGAGAAACGAGCGCAGTGCCTGCCGGGCTGTGCCCAGCTCCAGGGCTGCGTGGTGCTGCCGGGCGCTGCAGCCACTTCTGCTCGCTTCCTGGGTGAGGAACAGCCCCGTCTGCCCCGCTGCCTCGTTGCGGAAAGCTGCAGTGAACTGAAGTCTGCAGAGGTGTCTGCAGGACCTGGGGACGTCGGAGGCACAGCGCTGCGGTTCCCGGAGGAGCGCCCATCCGCTGTGGGGCTCAGCACTGCAGGAAGCGTGGGGCGGCGATGGTGCGCGTGGGGCGTTGGGCGATGTCCCAGAGGAGGAACTGCCGGGCCTCAGGCTGGGGACAGCGGGTGTAGGAAGTGCTGCAGAGGGAGGAGCTGCAGCTGAGTCGTTACCCACCCGCGCCGCCACCCACTGGGGCTGGAGGGGCCGCCCAGAGCCCCTTTCCCACCCGACTCCGCAGCAGAGGGAATGGCTGCCCCACGGGACCCAGCGTGGGCGATGGACGCTCAGCATCTGTGCATGGAGGAGAGGTGGCTGAGCGCGCGCGTGCTGTGCCGGATGTGCTGCATGGGTCAGTGCCTCTCCCAGCCCCGTGGCGCTGCTTGTGGGCTCTGCGTCGCGCTGGCAGTGGGGGCAAACCTCACCCCCCTGGATAAATTAACGGAGGGGTCAGGAAGGTGTGGCACCGCGGCTGTGGGGTGGGCAGAGGAGCGGTCCCTCGGTGTGGTTTCCTTCTGGGGGCAGCGGTGCCAGGCGGTGGCACTGAGGCTCAGCTGCGTGTTGTAGGACATTGCGCCCAGGCTGAGCCCGGTGTGCGGGGCGTTCGGGGCACCCGGAGCCGTGCTGTGGGCGCAGGTGAGGCGTGGAGGCCGTCCTGCGATGTGCCGCGTGTGTCAGTGCCGCTGTTGGGTGGGGGAACCACGCTGCCATGCCTTGGATCTCTCAGCTGGCATCACACAGCCCTTTCCACACCACACCAGGTGCTGTCTCTCTTCTGAGATTACGCCCTTAAACCAGGCAATCCCCTTTGGTCGGGGCTGGCTGTGAGATTATGCCGAGCAGTCCTTGGGGGGGGGGCTGCCAGGTGGCCCCTCAGGCAGCACAGCGCCATTCGGAGCCCTTTTTCCTCCTTTGCTTTGTTTCTCGTGTGGTTTTGTCCCCCAGCACAACAGGACAGAGCTCCCTGCTGCTGGGCGGTGTTGGCTCAAAGCTCCCACCCCCCCCAGGAGGAGCCCTGCTGCCTGGATGTAGGGCTTGGGGCACCTCAGCCCACCCCGTGTGGGACCCTGAGGGCAGTGCTGTGCGTCCCCTGCCCGGCTGGGGCTGAGCTGTGCAATGGAAATAAGCCCTAAGTCCCAGCAATCCAATGAACCAAAAATACATGGAAGAATAAGCTGGCAATAAGCTTCCCCTGCCCTGCTCTGTGCCTGTGCACAGCCAGGCTCTGGCTCCCAGCGCAGTCCCATCCCACGGACCCAGGGTGAGCAGCCCCTGTTCCCATACGGCAGCAGGATTTGGCCAGCAGCTCTGGCACCAGCAGCAGCTCCTCTGTGTCTCTTCCCCTCATTTGAGTTTGTGCATGAAAAACACTGACCCAGAGCTGCCTTTGTTTTCTTTTCACAGATGAACGGGACAGAGTCCAAAAGAAAACCTTCACTAAATGGGTCAATAAACACTTGATGAAGGTAAGAGCTGCCTGTTCTGTTTCCAGGCAGGTTCAGTGTCTGTCTGTCTGTCTGCCTTCCCGTTCCAGCTCAGGACAGGCAGATAAAAGCCTGCTTTACAATCTGGGAGCTTTTGCATTGGTGCTGAGGTATAAAACGTGTTCATACTCTGAGCAGAAATGGTTGCACTGGAATCGTGCTGGTGCCTTTGGAGGGCACTGTGACATCGCAGTGCAGCCCTGATGGCAACTTCCACCTCCTGTGTACCCAGGCCTTGCTGGAGCTCATGGTGTGTGCAGCATGCAGCACCCCAATATGCAACACCATTGCATGCTGCACCATTGCATGCAGTGTGCCAATATGCAGCACCCCACTGCCACCAGAGTGCTGCTGGCCCACAGCTCTTGGTTATGTTTTGTGTCATCCAGGCCTTCCTCTGGTAGGTGCAGATGTGCTGGGATGAATGTTGCACCACGAGGTGCTTGTCTTGTGTAACTGCCAAGTAATTTTTAAATGAATTCTCCTTTTGCAAAAGGAAGAAAAGAGCTTTGGGTATTAGGAGCACCACGGTGGTGCTTTACGAGCAGTTCTGCAAACATCTGTGTCAACCTTTCAGCTCTCTGCTACATCTCTCAGAGGAGGCGAAGTGAGCCCACTTGGTTTGGGCTGTGGGGACAAAACTGGGGCCGGGTAATGCAGCAGGGCAGGGCTTGTGAGGGGGTGGGTTTAGGGGGAGGGAGCAGGCTTGGGGGCTTTGTGCTGGTGCACACAGGAGGAATCTTCTCTGCTCATCAGTGGGGCCATGTGGTGTTTTAGGAGATGTTGGGCAGTGCAGTTGGCTCAGCTGCAGCTCTGTGTGCTGCATTATGGGATGTCCTGGGGGAGGGGTGGGTTAACGGGGGCCTGCTGGTGCATCTGAGGAAGGCAGCCTCGTCTGCTGGGTTGTTTTGGAAGCTGGAGGCTGCTTTCTGTAGTGGAAATAACCTCTTGGAATAACCATTTTAAATGCACACACTGGGGAGCGTTCTGCTTGCAAACTCCCAGTGTCCCCTTCCCCCCCCTCCAGGTGCGCAAGCACATCAATGACCTCTATGAGGACCTGAGGGACGGCCACAACCTCGTCTCGCTGCTGGAGGTGCTGTCGGGCGTGAAGCTGGTGAGTGCAGTGCTGTACCCCCCGCCTTCCCCTCCTCCAGTGCCTTCACAGCCATTCCTTATGCCATACTTTTGTTTCCAAACATGCATCAGTTTCCTTGGTTGTCGTTTTGTTCATTTTTCTTTCAACCCCGCTCTCCTCCTCCTGCTTTCCCGGATACCGCCAAGGCCATCAGTGTGGGGTGCCCTGCGCAGAGCCCTGTCTCTGAGGGGGATCTCTGCCCTCCTTCCCCAGACTCTGCTTTGTATTGAAGTTGCTGGAAGGCAGTGGCTTTGGCAGGAGTTATTCCTGTGACGTGTGCTCGGTTCAGCCCAGCCCCTCAGCTGATCCGTGCCCCGGAGCTGGCGTGCAGAGCTCTCTTCTCACATCTCAAGCATCACAGAACCCCCTCTGTCCTCCTCCTCCTTTGCAGACTGTCACACTACTGAGATGTAGTGGAGCAACAGCGTAGCGCAGCAGGAACTGCTGCAGCGTTCCCTAAATTAGGATCCGGGCAGAGTTCTTTCACTCGCTCCATCACTTTCCTGAGAAGCCCATGAGCTGCTGTGGGCCAAATGAAGCTCCGAGACCCAGGCGGCCTTCCTCTTCCTTTTGGCTTCAGAGCTGCAGGAGGGGGTTGCTCTGTGTCCCATCCCTTACATCCTCCTCGAGCCCTGGGGCCGGCGGTGTCCAGGAGGGGCAGTGAGGACCCTGCGGGGCGTCCCTTTCCGTTGGGTTTTCCTTTCTCTGGGTGTTGCATTTTGGTTTCCATTCTGTCTCCCTGTGTGTGTCCCCCCATCGGTGCCCGTTAGCAAATAGAGCCGCCAGCTCAGAGGAGCCTCCGCCTGGTGAAAGCGCCGGCCTGGTGCCGTGCCAGCAGCGAGGAGCGGGAGGAGGAGGAAGATGATGATGAAGAAGTAGGTCGAGCCTGCCTAGAGCCGGCACCGCAGTGCCAGCAGACGGCCCAGCGCAGTGCTGCCAGGCGCCGAGCTGCCCCTCGCCACTGGGGTGTTCCGTGCATCCCTGATGCTGGCGGGGGAGGAGCAGAGCGCTGCCTGGGCTGTCTGCTTGCGCGCGGGGCTGGAATGGGCTCTGCACGCTCCCACGGACCCCACCTGGGTCCCTGCTCAGCCTGGAGTGCTGTCTGCTAACCCCACTGCATGGCACGCACGGGCACTGGGTGGCAGTGGGGCCGGATGGCCCCATGCATGTGAATGAGATGAGAGTGGAACCTAACGGGGCCCAACCATGCCTGCGGTGTACAGACAGACTCCCACCCCCCTTGGCTAAGAAGATTGATTTCCCAGCCCTGTGCTCCTTGCACAATGTCTGTGGGAGCTGTGGGTGCAGCCCCCCCCCCCCGAGCTGTTCCTCCTGCAGTGCTGGCTCTGGCCCTGCAGCTCCATCCTTGGCCAGCACTCCTCTGCTGGGGCACCTCACTGCTCCTGGGGGTTCAGGCAGAGCACTGTGGCTCCTGCATGGGAGGAGCTGTGCCCACACCTCGCCTCGGGCAGTCAGTTAGGGACTAGCAGTTGATCCCTGCTACAAAACCCCTGGGGCTGAGCTGGTCGTGCCCGATGCTGGGAGCAGCTTGGAGCCTCACTGCAGGGACTTTCTGGGGTGCGGAGTGGCACAGAGCACATCCCTGGCAGAGCGTCTCTCGGGGCCTTCCCAGCTCTGTTTGCCGTGGGGGCTTTTCCTTCTTTCAGTGGGATTTCACGTGGCCACAACTTTATTCAGCTCCAGAATGAGGAAAGAGCACAGAGTGCTTTGTGTGCATGGGGCACGGCGGGTTGCAGGCAGCATGCGGGGCGTGCAGTGCAGTGCGGCGCGGGCGCTGCATCCCCACCAGGCAGCCCTGCAGCCCCCACCTTTTTTGCAGCCCCGTGAGAAGGGCCGGATGCGATTCCACAGACTGCAGAATGTGCAGATAGCGCTGGATTTCCTGAAGCAGAGGCAGGTAAGGCTGCACGGGTGGGGGGGGGTGGGGGGTTGTGGTCGGGTTTCAGCTCTGGCAGCAGCAGCCCTGGGCGCTTTGTGCTCCCTCTCCTGGCTGTAGCAACACTGGGTGCGCATCCCAGAGGCACAGAACTGTCTGTAATGGTGCGAATAAATGGTTTCAAACTGAGGAGATGTGGTGCTGCTGTTGTGCAGACGTTGCTGGGTCGCAGCAGCTGCCCCCTCTGTTGGGTGCTGCCCAGCTCTGCCTGTCCCTCCAGCCACGCACCCACTGCTGAACTGCACCAGTTTGTTCCAGGGCAGAGGTTTTTCTCTTTGCTGCTTGAGGGCATGGAATAAATTTGCACACGTGCCCTGCCCCAGGGAGCAGCCCCCCTTCCTCCATCAGTCCCTCATTTTGCTGGCGGCTGCAGGCAGTTTCTCCCCCCAGATAGAGCAGCTCTTTCCTCCATGCTGCTGGCCTAGTGGTGGGGTTTGCTGGGGGCAGCACCCCCCCATGGATCTGGCTCGATGCATGCCTGGTGCTCAGTGCTCTCCTGGCATTGCTGCTGCAGAGCCCTGAGAGCAAAGCAGCCGTGAGGAAGCAGCTCTGAGCTGCACCTGCCAGGGCACAGACCTGGTGGCTGCTGGTTATCCACCTTTGTTGGGGAGGACAATGAGCACAGCTTGGTTCTGAACCCACCAGGGAGTTAATAAAGCTCGGCTGTCCTCCTTTGACCATGGTCCGTGGTCTGTAGCTGTTAAATTATGCATCAGCGCTTGGGGCTCTGGGGACAGGGCACTTCTCCCACAGACTGCAATAGGGCAGTTAAGTGCTGCGGAAGCCCTGGAGCCGCAGCCCCAGCACCTGGGGCACAGGGCTGGCCGTCTGGATGTGCCGTGCTGGGGGTTGGGTCCCGTGGCGGTGGGGAGTTCTGACTGTTTGCTTCTTTGCCAGGTGAAACTGGTGAACATTCGCAACGATGACATTACAGATGGAAATCCCAAGCTCACCCTGGGGCTCATATGGACCATCATCCTCCACTTCCAGGTAGGCAGCAAACCCTTCCTTCCTTGCGGGGTGTGGGCTGCTCCCAGCACTCTGGTCTCAGTCTATGCACACACGTTCCGGGGTGATGCCGGAGCGCCGGGCGGGCGGGGGTTCACGTGCATGGCAGTGCCATGGAGACTGGTGCTGGAGAATAACGACTCCCTTGTCTCATCATTTACGTAATTAAATTGTCGATGATGGGCTGTGTGCTGTGGCCTCGGCTTGGCACCATGGTGGTTGGCAGTGGTTTGCTCAGATGAATCCTCTGGAGGAGAGCAAGCGTGGGGTGGGTGGTGGGGGTGGGATGGATGCTGTCAGCGCGGCTCATTAGGATGGCACACGTGGGCTGAGTGGGTTGGGATGCAATGCTGTCTGACCCAGGCAGCGGTGCTGTTACAGCAGCTGGCTGCTACAGATGCAAAACAGACTCTTGGGTCTTTGATCACCTCGGGTTGTGCAGAGGTAGCTTTGGTACCCTTAGGGAGGTGACATGTGGCCCCATTGATGTGCCAGGATGTTGAGAACAGCGCTCAGCTGGGAAGGGTCAACCCTGGTGTTCAGGGGTGGGCGCCTTGGGGTCCTGCAGTGCCCGAGGAGCAGAGCCAGGCCTGGAGGTGGTGGCAGCCGTGAGCTGGTGGCTGCAGCCCAAAGGCCGTCCCCGGTTCCCTGACGTGTCCTCAATGGCATTTTCCATGTGAGACGAGCGCTGGTTTGAGGCCCCTTAAGGAAGCTTTTCATTTCCAGAGGCTGAGTGCAGCCCCTGGGGAGCTGCTGCCTTGGCTGCACAGTGGGGCTGTTGGTTCCTTCCAAAAACGTGACGGCTTTCGGGGTGAAGGCATTTCTGGCTGTGGACGGGGCCAGGGCTGCTGTTTTCCCAGGACATGGCTGCTGTCCAGTGCCCTTTCCGATGGCATTTCTAGGGGATGACAGCACCCCTGCCAATGGGGAGGAATGAGGACAATGTGAGGACGCCCCTGGGTGCTCCTGCTTGTCTGGAGCCACCTGCATGCCCTGTGCCGGAGTGGCCGTGTGGCCGTGACTGTGCTGTGTTACCAGGGAGGGTCTTTTGGGGGGTTTCAAATAGGGTGTGAGCTCGCAGTGGAGTGCTGTGGTGTGGTGACCCTGGGGTCGAGCGGGGCTGTAGCCCTGATGAGGCCCAGTCCCATCTGCTGGGGGTGCTGGGAGCTGCCCAAGCTCCCCTCGCCCCACTGCAGGCAGGCAGCCCTGAGCCTGCGCACGTCCTCCCTGCGCCAGTGGGATTTTCTCTGGGCTGTAGCTCCATTGTGAGCCTCTTAATCTCCCGTATCCTGGTGCTGCAGCCGGCGGCTCCGACTGCGAGCAGAGCGGTGCTGGGTGGGATGATGGCAGCGCTGGGTGCTGTGATCCGGGTCGGTGCTGCCCCATTTCTGGGGCTGGTGGTGTCCATGGGTCCCTTGTCACAGAGGGGTGACTTGGGAGGTGGCTGTGGTTGGGCTTTGTCCCTCCATCTTTATCTTCTGCTTATTTGCTGTCTCATCCCTGCTGCTGGCACGTGGTCCCCTGTGCTGTGGGTGTCGTGTGCTCCTTGCAGCAGAGCAGTGCCCGCTGCAGGACGTGGGGCTGAGCCCAGCAGGGTCTGCAGTGCTCTCTAGGGCGGGGGCTGCTGTCGTCTCCTGCTGATCCCAAAAGCTGCTGTGTCCGTGGGGCTGCCCCAGCGCTGTCCCTCTGGGCGGCGGTGTGCACGTGATGTGGGCTGCTGGGGCTATGGGGATCTCAGTGCCGGGGGGCACGGTGAGAGCAGCCTTCCCGGAGCGCCCCGTGGGAGCCGGCAGCATTCTGCATCCCCGTGCCTATCCCCATCCGTGTGCGTGCAGAGCGGCTCTGACTCCTCCCTGCTTTTTTCCCATCTCCTTCCCACCCCTTCCTTTATGTACCTTTCCCAACCTTCCCATTTTCTTGTGGCTTTTCTTTCCCTCCCTACCCCTCCCAGCCTCCCCTCCCCTTTCGCTGCTCTCCGTCTGGTTCCTGCTCTCTGTTTGTGTTGGCTGAGGGCAGTGCTCCAATTACCTCATATTTGGAGAGAGAAAGCCGCAGCCAATCCGCTCTCCGTCTGCTTTTAGGTCAAGTGATTTCTGAACTGCAGTGAGATGCTTTGAATGTGTCTCGCTGCAGCTCGGGCTGTAAGATGGCTGGCGGCAGCAGGCGGGCGTGCGGGGATGCCGGGGGCCGCCCGCGGCGCTGCGCGGTGCGAAACGTGCGCTGAGCCCATGAAGCTGACACTGGGATTTCTTCGGGAGCCGGAGAGCAGAGCGGCGGCGGCAGTGGTGGCGGCGTTCCCGGCGCTTTCGGCGCCGAGGAGATGGGGAATTCTCTGGGCTGCGTTAAAGAGCCGAAAGAAAAAGCTGCCGGGCCGGCTCCGCTGCCCCCCAAAAAAAGGGTTCGCTTCAAACGGAGGAGGAGGGGGAAGAAGAGAGCGGTGCCGGCGGCGGCGGCGGCCCCGCAGGAGGAGCTGCCGGCCGCGGCGGTGCCCGGGGTGGATGAGGATCCGAAGTTGGAGGCGGCACCGCAGCACGAGGAGCCCGACGGGAGCCGGAACTCAGGAGGGGATCCCGGGCGCATCGTGCAGGTGAAGGAGAGGTTCCAGGGGGAGCTGCAGAAAGCGCACCTGGTGCTGGAGCCGAGGGGAGCGCAGACGGCGGGGGATTCCCCTCAGGAGGGCACGACCGTCATCGCCCGCCTGCTGGAGAACCCTGCCGAGCAGGGCTGCGAGCGGGCCGTGAGCCGCCTGGTCCGGCTGCAGCGCGGCGGTACGGGCAGCACCAGGGCTGTGCTGCTGCCGCTGCCACGCGGCCCCGATGGGCTCTGGAAGCACCGCACCGAGGGGTCCCCAGCCAGCCCTGAGTGCGGAGAGCAGCCGGCGCGGAGCTGGGAACCGGCAGACAGCGGCGCACCGGGGATGTGGGGGAGAGGGGGCAGCGGGGAGCCGAGCTCCGGTGCTGCATGGACCTCCACTGCGGAGCCGGGCACCGTTTCTGAACTGTCTACGCCGTCCCCCATGGTGGAGCAGATGGAAAATCCTGGTGTCGGGAAGTCCCCTGGTGTCGGGAAGGTGCTGCCGTCACCTGGTGCCAGGCAGGGCGACGCGCACGGGCTGCCGGTGTCCCACAGCGGGTCCTCCTCTGGTGGCACCGCCCGCTGCTCCTCGGGGTACGGCAGTGAGCGGGCCGGGAGCTCCGGAGCTGGCGGGACTGCGGCTCCTCCTGCCGAAGGTGTGCGCAGCGCGCAGCGCCGGGCTCTGCTGGGCAGCTCTGGGCCGGCCGGAGGAACGGTCAGTGTCTGCGTGTGCCGTCATCCCGTGTTTGGAGTGGGGGGGGGGAACCCGGTCCAGCAGAACCCCAGTGATTGTGGCTGCTGGGAATGGTCAGCACTGTGCGTGGTGCTGAGCTGTGCGCTGCGAGGCACAACCTGAGATGGGGTAGGAGGCGGCAGGCAGAGATGCGGAGCCTCTTCCCCTTGAGCGTCTCTGTGGGGTCTTGTTCATGTGGAGCCCAGGAAAGGAAAGTGGGCGCGTGTGAGGAGCACCCCATCGTGGTGGGGAGCAGCTCTCAGTGAGGTTGGTGGGTTTGGGATCACGGGTGTGTGGGCTCTGGATGTGATTGCATTTGCCATGGTGTTGTGTGCCAGGGGGTGAGTGGTGGTCGGGGGGCTCAAAATGTGTCCCCTGGATTTGTTCTTGTGCCGTGCTCTGATGAAGGGAAGCGGCAGCCCGATGTGGGGCTGAGTGCAGGGTGAGCTCCGTGGGCATTTCACCCACCTGAGGCCACCCCTGTGCTCAGGGATGGCGTGCTGGGGCAGCCCTGCTAGTCAGTACAGTGTCTGGGGCTGCTCCAAGGGGCAGTTAGAGGTGACAGATGGCAGAGCATTGCTGGGAGAGAGCGTGGGCTATTTGCCCATTCTGAGAAAGGTCTCCACGAGGAGGAGGTGATGCTGTGCTTGGCTTTGGAGCTGTTGCTGTTGCAGGTGGCTCGCAGAGTGAATTCGTGCAAGGGTTTGACCAAGCTGCTCACAGCCATGGGATGAGCAGTGCTGGGAAGGCTGGGCTGCTTGCCCCGTGCCTGTGCTGTGTTAGGGCCGGTGCCACTGCGATGGCCACCAGTTGCTTGGTGGAGGCTGATGCAGGAAAGGCCCGTGAGGAGCTGCCTGGTGTTACCAGCTGCCTCTTGCCTCCCTAAATCTCAGTCCTGACACTGATGTAGGAAGAAAGGAGGGTGGAGCCGGTGCCGCACCCTGCGCCTCTCCAGGCCCCCCCAGGAGGGTCTGCTGCACAGATGCGCTCGTGGGGAGACGCAGCAGGTGGGGATGGTGGAAAGGAAGGCACTACTGGGGCTGGCTGCAGCAAGGAGTGTCCCTGCTGGGCAGTGTGGCAGGTCAGCCCCCTGCACGGGGGTTCCATGGGCTTCTGAGGGTTCCTTCGATGCTGGGAGCTGTGCAGCCACCCAGTGCATCACCATCCTCGGCCCCACAGCCTTTGGGTCTGGAAGGGTTAACGGCGGCGCTGGCTGCACAAAGAGCGGTTCTGTGCATGACAGCGGATCAGGCTGGAGGGAGGTGAGCTGCAGCATACCAATGGCATGGGGGGGGGAGCCCTGCCATCCCTTCTGCCCAGGGCTTGGGGGATGCGGTGATGGGGCGCTCTGGGGACAAACTGGACTTGGAGGGGCAGCAGGTGGGGTTGGTGCTGATGATCCCAGCATTGCTGGGAGGAGGAACGCTCGGGAAGAGGCTGGGTTGTGTTCTGCCAGCACCCAGAAAGTATGCACAGTTCACACCCTCCTCTTTGTCTGCCCCATCATTAAGGCGAGGTAATTGTGCTAATTGGGGAACTGGGAGGATGGGTGGGGAGCAAGCCGTGTCAATCAGAAATAGTCTGGCATGGAGACACGTGCGTGTTGTCACGTGCAAACCTGGGATCCGCAGCCGGTGCTGTGCTCTTATGGAAAGGCATTGGTGGCAGTCGGTCCCTGCTGCAGGGCTGTGGTGGCACTGCCACCTGCACTGGGCATGGTTGAGGGGGAGCTGGGATGTGGCAGTCCCATCCTGCCAGCTGGTGGCCCTGCTCCGAGCTGTGCTGGCTGTGATGGCATGGGCCACCTCTGCTCCGATTGTCACTGAGCAGCACCTCTGGGCACTGCTCTGCCCCGCGGAGTGGCACTGCTGAGCTCGGTGGCACTGCACCTGGAGCTGTGCTCTGCCCAAACCACGCCGCACGCAGCAGTGTCCCTGCGCTCACCATCTGAGCATCCCTCCTCCCTTGCAGCCGCCAGGAGATTCCTCCTGCTCTGCTGGGGGCTGCCAGCCCTGCTGCAGGAGCTGAGCGTCCTGGTGGAGCCTTCCCTGCGTCACCCCCTGGTCTGCTCCTGCTTGCAGATCTCTGACATCTACATCAGTGGGGAGTCAGGGGACATGTCAGCCAAGGAGAAACTGCTGCTATGGACACAGAAAGTGACAGCGGGTTACATCGGGGTGAAGTGCACCAACTTCTCTTCGTGTTGGAGCGATGGGAAGATGTTCAATGCGCTCATCCACAGATACAGGTGGGTGAGAATTGTTGGTGGGTGGCTGGGGGCTTCCCGGGGGTCCTTGCCCACCTCTGTGTTTGGTGGTGGGATGCAGTTGCTCGGGATGTGGGTGAGGTTTTCAGGGTCTCTTTTCCCTTGGAACCATCTGTGCCAAGGAGCCGAGCCGATGCTCAGAAAAAGCGATGGAGGCGTCAGGCTGCGGGTGGGGGGGGGGTTTAACGAGGTTGGGATGCTGTGCCCTGGTGTCAGGGCTCTGACACGTGCCTCGCAGGCCGGATCTGGTGGACATGGAGCGGGTGCAGATCCAGAGTAACCGGGAGAACTTGGAGCAGGCCTTCGAGATCGCGGAGCGGCTGGGGGTGACGCGGCTGCTGGATGCTGAAGGTGAGAGCTGCTGAGGGCAGCGTGGGGCAGAGCTGAGCGCGGTGTCTCCTCTGATCCCTCACAGCTTCTGCTCCCCCTCTGCAGATGTGGACGTTCCATCTCCGGACGAGAAGTCGGTGATAACTTACGTGTCTTCAATCTACGATGCCTTTCCCAAAGTCCCTGAGGGAGGAGAAGGGATCAGTGCCATCGTAAGCGATGCGGCTCAGCACCCAGACTTGGGAGGGGCCCGGAGGTCTTCCTTCAGCCCTTACAGGCTGGGAGCAGCTTGCGGGAGGAAGGAGCTTCCCCAGGTTCAGAGGGATGCGGGGATGTGGCAGTGCTGACTGCAGCGTGTTCTCCCCCGCAGGAGGTGGACTCGAGGTGGCTGGAGTACCAGACCCGCCTGGAGTCCCTCATCTCCTGGATCAAGCAGCACACGATACTCATGTCGGATAAATCCTTCCCCCAGAACCCTGTAGAGCTGAAGGTGGGTCCTGGAGTGGTCCTTGCACACAGTGCTGCGTGGTGCTGTTCCCCAGGGTGGTTTCTGATGCAGCCTTTCTCATCACAGGCACTTTATAACCAATACATACACTTCAAAGAAACTGAAATCCCAGCGAGAGAGCAGGAGAAGGGAAGGATAGAGGAGCTCTACAAGCTGTTAGAGGTAAGGTTTGTTAAAGGTAAGCTGTGCAGAGGCTTGCAGGTGGGAGTGCGTGCTTTTAGCGAGACTATGGTGTGCTCACCCCAGATTTATTTTGGAATGGAGAAGTGGAAACAACCCTCGGGGCAAATAATTTAGCAAAGAGCTCTCGGGAGCGGAGACAGACATTGCCTCACAGCCCCGCCTTCCTTGCTGCAGTTTGGCCAGCTTGGGGAGGTGTGGGTTGCCATTCTGTCGGTGTTTTCTGCAGGTGTGGATTGAGTTTGGACGCATCAAATTGCCGCAGGGGTATCACCCCAACGACGTGGAGGAGGAGTGGGGCAAGCTGATCATCGAGATGCTGGAGCGTGAGAAGCTCCTGCGGCCGGCGGTGGAAAGGTTGGTGACCCTCTGTGCCCTGCAGGGACACCCCTGTGCCCAACGGGTGACCCAGTGCCTTCCTCATTTTCTCCCGTCCATCTCCTCAGGCTGGAACTGCTGCTACAAATCGCCAACAAAATCCAGAATGGCGCTCTGAGCTGTGAAGAAAAACTCACACTTGCAAAGAACACACTGCAAGCTGTGAGTGGGGGCTGACATTGTTATTTCCCCTTCTTCTGACTCTTCTTTCATGCCCATCTCTGTCACTCCCTCTTCATGTGGGGTGGTGAGTTCCCCTGGACAACTTTCCTTTCTGTAGGATGTGGAGCCCATCCAAGTAGGGCTGTGGCGATGGTGGTGGGTACAGCTGAGCTGGGGATGGACCCTGCAGGGCTGCTGGCTTGGGAGGCGGCTGCCATTCTGGGAAAGCTTGTGGCATCACGAGGCTTAAAAAACCACAAAAATCTGCTGTGTTTGTCTGGAAGAGAGACAGAAAAGACTCAGCTTCAGACTGTCGCTACCTACTAACTATGGAGTAGATTTCTGTAGAGGAAGTGTTTTGTTCTGGAAGATGGAGGTGCACAGAGGTGTGGGGTCTGGAAGCTGGCTGGTTAAATCCAACCAAGAAGTGAGGTGCCATGTAAGGGGCAGTCATTGCATGGGGCGTCTGCCAGCTTTAGCTTTGTCTGAAGTTTGCAGGAGTTTTTTTAAAAGCAGCGTCCTGAGCGAGGTGTGAGTTCTAACAGACAGAGCCATAACTGAGCGTAGGGTGAAGAGGTCCTTTTGCTGCTGGAGTCAGTGCTGGGTTTCTGTTCTCTCTGCCCACACGTCAGGGCTGGGGGAGCAGCCCTCAGCCTCACCCATCTGCATGCAGGATGCTGCCCACCTGGAGGCCGGCCAGCCGGTGCAGTACGAGGCCGACGTCGTGGTGTACCTGCAGGAGTGCGAGGGGCTGCTCCGCCAGCTGCAGGTGGACGTGCAGATCCTGCGGGACGAGAATTACTACCAGCTGGAGGAGCTGGCGTTCAGGTGAGTTGGGCTGTGCTTGAGGTGGCTCCAGCGGTGCTGCGTGTCGTCCCTGCTCCTCGTGCGTGCCAGCAGGCAGCGCAGCATCGGCCTCATCTGCTCACCGCTCCATTTCTCCTCCAGGATCATGCGGCTGCAGGACGAGCTGGTGACGCTGAGGCTCGAGTGCACCAACCTGTACAGAAAGGGCCACTTCTCCACGCTGGAGCTGGCGCCCGCACCCACCCTGAGCACCACGCAGCTGAAAGGCGAATCCCTGACCAAAGGGCTGCACACCTCATCTGCCTCCTGGTTCAGGAAGCCCATGACCAGGACGGAGCTGGTGGCCATCTCCTCCTCTGAGGACGAAGGCAGCCTGCGCTTCGTGTATGAGCTGCTGGCCTGGGTGGAGGAGATGCAGGTGAGCGCTGACTGCCTTCCTGCGCACTGATGAGGGAGGATGTGTGGTTTTGCCTGGAGATGGTGGTTGTTCTGACGGCTCAGAGTTTCTGGAGAGCTTTTGTCTTGTTTCTCTCATGTGATCCCAATCTTCACTGCGTATTGGAGGATGCTTTCAAAGCTGCATGCAAATCTGCAGTGACCAGTCAGTCCCGTGGGCTTGGGGCCCCTACCAGGGCTGCTGTGCCATCCATCACCTCCTTCATTACCCAGGAGGTTCCCTTGGCCCTCTGAGGTGAGTCCCCAGCCCAGGAGGGCTGACCTGCTCTCTTGGCCTGTTGCAGATGAGGTTGGAGCGGGCAGAGTGGGGCAGCGACCTGCCCAGTGTGGAAACCCAGCTGGAGACACAGCGGCACATCCACAGCAGCGTGGAGGAGCTGGGCTCCAACGTCAAGGAGGCACGGCTGTACGAGGTATGGCAGCACTGGACTGTGTGCATGGGAGGGTGACGAAGTCAGGATGTCCCCTCCTGTGGGTAGAGGTGGATGGGGCAGATGGGTTTTTAAGGACAGAGCTTCTGAGCAGCTGGGCTGCTGCTGCCCTGAGCATCCTTTCTGCCCCCATCCTCTCTGGGTTTGGAGATGGGGTTTTGAAGGATGTCCTACATCAGGTAACAGGAGTGCTTTCATCCCCCAGGGTAAGATGTCTCAGAATTTCCGCGCTAGCTACACAGAGACGCTCGGCAAGCTGGAGACACAGTACTGCAAGCTGATGGTGAGTGGGTCTGTCTGCATCTCGAGCAATGCCTGATGCTGCAGGGAGCGCCTGCTGTGTCCTGGGCACACGGGTCGAGCATCCAGTTCTGCTGCGAGGGCGGGAGGGAGCAGCATCTCTCGAGGCTCAGCCCTGGCTCTCTGAGCTCACGCAGGGATGGGTTGCTTCGTTGTGTCCAGGAAACCTCGAGCTTCCGACTGAGGCACCTGCAGAGCTTGCACGGCTTTGTGTCTCGGGCCACCGCCGAGCTGATATGGCTGAATGAGAAGGAGGAGGAGGAACTGGCCTATGACTGGAGTGACAACAACCCGAACATCGCAGCTAAGAGAAACTACTTCTCGGTGAGTGACTGGCTGCGCTGGGCTGGGAGCTCCTGGTTGCACCACGCTGCCCTCGAGCTCCATGCAGAAGTCCCAGGGATGCTCGGCACGTGTTGCATGCTTCCTGAGTCAGAGCTTGTCGCTCACGAGTGCAGCTCTCCCCGGGGCTGAAGGCTCAAAAAAAGTCTGCTCAATTCGGTGTTAATGGAAAAGGCATCAAAAGATGTTTTTTAGCAGTGCTTGAAACTAAAGACATCCTTACACAGACAAAAAAGAAGAAGTCTGGGCTAAAGAGGAAAGCTGATTCCTCTTTAAAGCAGTATAAATAAATTGCTGTCTTCCCACAATTGTAATGTTTGAAACTGAGGAGGTCCCTGGGCAGGCTTCCAGCTCCGGTGTTTGGTCTGCCCTGTGTGTGTGGTGCACAGGGCAGCCTGATGGTGCTCGGACAAGCCTTGCTGGTTTCCTATCTGCACCTGAGATCTGCTGCTGTTTACGGCAGTGCTCTGATACTGCTTGTTCCATTAGCTGGACACGTGCTGCGAGTGCAGGCTGCTGCTGATAGCTGAGATTTGAACTGTGCTCGTGTCCTTCGTGCAGGAGCTGACGATGGAGCTGGAGGAGAAGCAGGACATCTTCCGCTCCCTCCAAGACACCGCTGAGCTGCTGGCCCTGGAGAACCACCCCGCCAAGCAAACCGTGGAGGTGAGCGGGTGCTGGGGGCAGCAAATCTGTGTCTGCAGCAGCCCTTGTGTGCCGCTTCCTGCTCTGCTTTCCTGTGCTTCGTCTGCGTCCAAACAGACCGACAGCAGGCAGAGCGTTGCCCATTTATGTGCATCTCACCGGCTGTGGCCGTGTCCTTCCTGTGACCCTCCTGACTGGTGAGCGCTCACTGCTGTTTGCTGTGTGTTCCCCAGGCCTACAGCGCTGCTGTGCAGAGCCAGTGGCAGTGGATCAAGCAGCTCTGCCTGTGCGTGGAGCAGCACGTGAAGGAGAATGCCGCCTATTTCCAGGTACGTGGGACAGGGAGCCCCAAATCGCTGGGGCTGAGTGGGAGGGCAAACCCTGCTGCATGTGTGGGTTGCAGAGCATCCCTGCATCCCAGGGCACGAGCTCCATTGGCTGCATCCCAGTGCGTGAGGTTCATGGGCTGCTTTCCCTTTCTGGCAGAGGGGAGCGGCAGCTTGCGCTGCTCATCAGGGCGCTGCTTCTGAACTGCCTGCCTCTTTCTAGCAGCTCTTTGGGAATATCTCACAGGACCAGGCAGCTGCTGGGGGGATCTGGGGTGCTGTCCTGCAGTGCTGCGCTGCCGATGGCTGCGTTGAGCTGTGCCGGTTTCTGTGACACTTCTGGCTTTGCAGTTCTTCAGCGATGCCCGTGAGTCGGAGACGTACCTGCGCAACCTGCAGGACTCCATCAGAAGGAAGTATTCCTGTGACCACAGCACGAGCCTGACGCGGCTGGAGGACCTGCTGCAGGACTCCATGGTGGGTTCTGGGAGTCCCTGCCACCCGCGTGGGGTGTGGAGACGTGGGCAGGGAGGGTTTGGGCTGTGGGTTTCCCTCAGCCTTGATGGAAGGGCAGAAGGGCTCAATCTGTGTGTGTGGAGGCTGGCAGCTTCTTTGTCGCTCTTTCTTACCTAATGAGTTAAAGCTGTATTTCTTCCAATCATGCTCCCGGGGACAGGCACAGGTAGTTTACTTAATCATTTCTTCTTTTTCTTTTTTTTTTTTTTTAACCTTTTACCATTAAATTATCCCTCACTGTTCATAGCACACTAACCAACCTTGAGAGTACAAAGCATGAGGGACAGCATTGTTCTGGGATCCTCTTCAGCCTTTGTGGCCAGGCTAGCTGTGACCGCTCCCCCGGGCCGCCCATGAGCCGCACGCGTCCCTGTCCTGTCCATGGGAGCTTTGTCACCAACCCCTGGGTCACCCCATCGTGCAGGGAGTCGGGTCCAGCAGTTCCTTCCACCGACAGATTTCTGCCCGCATCCAGAGAGTTGTGTGGTCACCCCTGCTGATCATCTCCTGAGATGTAGATCAGCTGTTGTACCCCTTTTCCAGCCATTGATACAAACACACCTCCATTCTTCGCTTTAGAAGAGGGAGCATGCTTCTGTGGTGTCTCTTCCAGGCAACCAAGCACCCCTGGCTTTGGGCTGGTGCTTGTCCTGATCTTTGCCACGTAAAACCTCCTGGGACTTTAATTTTGGTGTATACTGCGTTCTCTTTTTTGCCTTTTGAAAGTGCTCTCTTGTCCCAGGAGCCTGAGCCAGAGGTGTGCGTGGGGGCAGCAGTAGTAGTGGAGAGGTCCCACCCCTGGTCTGAAGGCTTCTCCCTTCCATCTTTCCTTCCATCCATCTCTCCCAGTCCCTTTTCCCCATGCTGGGCAGGCAGTAGCTCTGATGTCCCAATGCTTGTCCAGCCCCTGCAGTCCCAGCAGAGCTCTGGAAGGGCAGCCTTGGGGTGGGGGTGCTGTGGTGTCTTAAGAAACCTCTCCTCTTCCTCCTCCTCCGCCTCTTCCTATTCCTCCTTCTGCTCACTGAGTAAACCGTGCTTTGTCCTTCTCTGCCAGGATGAGAAGGAGCAGCTCATCCAGTCGAAGAGCTCCGTCGCCAGCCTGGTGGGACGGTCCAAGAGCATCGTTCAGCTCCGGCCCAGGAACCCGGAGCACCTGGTGAAGAGCACCATCCCCATCAAGGCTGTGTGTGACTATCGGCAGATCGAGGTGAGGGCTGGGAGGGGAAGGCGTTGTGGGTTGGAGCCCGGCTTTGAGTGGGAGGGCACAGCGTGGCAGGGGAGAAGTGCCTGTGAGGTTTTAGAGCTAGTTTTGTGGTGTCTGTCAATGAAAATTAGGGACGCAGTGGGAAGAAAGGAGGAGGGAAGGAGCCGGCTGTTCTTCCTGGAGGAGACTTGCACATCTCAGATTTATTCTGGGAAGGAGTTGAAGTCCTTTTCCCCAGGGAGGATGGGCTTCATCAGCCTCAGCCAAACCAGCACGTGTGTGGCAGCCAGCTCTGCTTCCTGGCCCCTTCCTCTCCAGACATGAACGTGCTGCTCCACTTGGCAGCGTCCCGTGCTTTTGCTTGATCAGCTGCAGGGGTTGACGGGGAAGCTGCTTTCCCTACTGCAGGGCTGTGAGCTGCAGGTGGGTGCAGCCCCGCTGATGGGCTGCGTGTTTGTTGTTGGTGCCACTGCAGATCACCATCTGCCGGAACGACGAGTGCGTGCTGGAGGACAACTCGCAGAGAACGAAGTGGAAGGTGATCAGCCCCACAGGAAACGAGGCCATGGTGCCCTCCGTGTGCTTCCTGATCCCCCCTCCCAACAAAGAGGCCATCGAGATGGCCAACAGGTAACTTGCTGCTGGGGGTACGGCCCAGGGGTGCAGAGACCTCTTGTGCAATGAGTGGGGTTAGGGCTGACGTGCTGGGAGGGCTGGGGCTGACGGACCTGCTCATTCCCATCGCAGGGTGGAACAGCTGTACCAGAAAGTGATGGCTCTCTGGCACCAGCTCCACATGAACACAAAGAGCCTCATCTCCTGGAACTACCTTCGGAAGGACATTGCCTTGGTGCAGAGCTTCAGCATGGAAAAGGTGCGGCAGAAACTTCTGTGCCTGCGCTGCTGCACACTCACACGGTGGTGGGGAGAAGGGAGTGTGAAGGTGAAGAGCGGGGGCTGCCGGGACCCGCAGTGACGTGGGGCAATGGCAGAACCTGAGCTCGGGGGCTCAGCACAGAATGGCTGCACTTTTTCCCATTAAAAAGAACGTCCACAGTTTGCACTGTGTGTAATAAGGATAAGGGATCGTGGACTTAGCATTTCATTAGGGATGAGCAATGACGGAGGGGGCTAACATGGGGGAGCTCTCCTGTTCTGCTCTAAAGAGCAAATGGAGGCGATGGAGGTACGGAGGCTTCGGTGACCTGCAGGCTGTGATCCCGTGGTGGATGTGCTGCTTTTCCCCTTGCAGCTCCGCTCCCTGGCGCAGGGGGAGTGCCAGCAGGCGCTGAGGAGCCTCCAGGCGCACTATGAGGACTTCCTGCAGGACAGCCGTGACTCCGAGCTCTTCTCAGTGTCAGACCGTCTGCGCCTGGAGGAGGAGGTGGAGTCTTCCAAGGAGCACATCCAGCAGCTGCTGGAGTCCATGGAGAACGGTGAGCTCCGCAGGGCTGATGGATTAACTAGGAGCTGCGGGGACTAATAAACAAAGGATTTATGGGACAGCTTCATCTTCTCATCTGTCTTGAGCTAGCTGGATGGTATTGTGAGCAGCTGCTCTATTTATTCCTCCATCCATTCAAATATTCGGCCTCTGTCCAGTGACGTTCCCACAGCACAGACTTGGCTTTGCAGCCCCAGGTTAATGCAGAGCCCTCTTCCCCTCACACTGCCAGAGACAGGCTTGTCACTGGTCAGATGTGTCCTTCCTGTGTTCAGTCTGTTAACAAAATGGATGCAGCAGCCGCAGTCCCGCTGTTCAGAGCTCAGTCCCATTAGGATGTGGGTCTTGGTGTGGTGTACTGTGGCTGGACCCGTTCTCAGCTCTATTGCAACGAGAAGATCTGATTCTCTTGTTTTCTTCCTGAACAAAGACCTCAGCACCACAGTGCCAGCATGGTGGGCTCCGAGCAGGTACTGAGCGGGGCTGTGAGCTGCTCTTGTGGTTTGTCCCCAATTTGCAGAAGACAAGGACGAGACAGTTGCCAGGACGTATCTCTCTGAGCTCCAGAACGTCCGCCTGCGCCTGGAGGAGTGTGAGCAGAGACTCGTGAGCCGCATCCAGTCCCCCAGCAGCACCCGAGCGGATGGTGACAGCATCCAGGAGAACACCGTCCGCATCGCCGAGCAGGAGGTCGGTCCTCAGCTGGGGATGCTGGATGCTGCTCTCCGCGCGTGCCTGCAGTGGCTGTGACCCCTCTGTGCTGAACGTGTGGGCAGTGGGAGTGGGGCTCAAGGGAACTTCCCAGACACAAAAAACCGAGTGGGCTTCCTGCTCTGTCTCACCTCGTCTCCTTCGCCGCCTGCTTTTCTCTGCCCATTCTGGCTCTCCTTTCACCTTCTCTCCCTCCTCCCGCAGCGCACACAGGACGATCTGCAGCGGCTGAAGTCTGACCTGCGCTGTGTTTCGGAGCGCTGCTGCAGCTTCCTCAGCAGAGCACCCAGCGGCCCCAGCACACCGCGCCTGCGAGCTGAGCTCGACTTGGTGGTGAACAAGATGGACCAGACATATGGGCTGTCCTCTGTCTACCTGGACAAGTGAGTGGGACCTGCCTCTGTGTGTGGTTCTGCTGCCAACCTTCCTTCTGGTCCTCTAACACAGCTAGCTGTGCTGTGACTCGGGGCGCAAACCGCCTCGCAGCCGGGAGGATCTCTGCCAAAAGTGGGACGTCATTGTGCTGCTTCTCTCTGACTCGCCAGGCTGAAGACGGTTGATGTTATCATTCGTAACACCCAAGGAGCAGAGTCTCTGGTGAAGGGATACGAGGTGAAGCTGAGCCAGGAGGAGGCTGTCCCGACTGACCTGACAGCAATTCAGGCGCACAGAAGTGCCCTGCAGGTTGGTGCTGTTCACTTCAAAGAGTGCACAGAGAAAACAGCCAATGCTTTGTTTGTCGAGCAGATTCCTTCCTTTTCTCTGCTGAATTTACATTGTGTGCTGTTTTTCCTGTCCAAAATAGCTACTGGGAGGACTTGTCTCCCTTATTTCACTGTAAAGATAAAGGAGCAGCCGTGGCCTTGTGCTTCCACTTGTAGGCACATGCTAATGTGTGCCAGCCTCTTAGCAGCTGTGTGTCCTGCTGCGTGAGGGCAGGGGCTGCTGAACCAATCAGACCTGCTCCAGGCTGGGAACTGCTCCCTCCTGTTGGCATCTCCCAGGTCTGCAGTCAGGCTGTAGACACTGCAGGTGGTGCAGCCAGGGAGGATGAGCTCCTTCTCTCGCTTTGCAGCTGCAGCATGGAGGGACTCTGTGGTTTAATGGCAACCTTAGGTGAAGCTCTGTGCTCTGCTTTCTGTGACGTTAAATGTGAGCTGCCTTGTATTGTTTTTGAAGCAATGGCTCGGGGAAGTGAAGGGCAAGAACTCGGTGTTCTCCGTGTTAGAGGAGGAGATGGCGAAGGCGAAAGCAGTGGGGGAGCAGCTGTACCAGCTGAGACAGGAGCGCAGCATTGACCTCGAGCGCTACCAGGAGAAGGGCAGCCAGCTGTGGGACCGCTGGCAGAGAGCCTGCGCCCAGATCGAGACCCGGTGAGAAAACTCCTGCTTCCATTCCCACATCTGTTTTCATGCTTCAGCTGAGGGCTTGGGTCAGGCTTCTTCGCCCCAATAGGGGCCCCGGGATGGCTGGGATGCCCCTCTAACCTGCGGCGGGATTTCACCCCTCTGATCTCCATTCTGCTTTCAGCCACACAGAGCTGGAGAGCATCCAGGAGGTGCTGAGCGATTACCGCCAGTGCCACAGGGCCCTCATCCAGTGGATCGAAGAGATCACTGCCCAGCAGGAGCTGATGAAACCCGGGCAGGCGGAGGATAGCCGGGTGCTGTCAGAGCAGCTGAGCCAGCAAACGGTGAGATGGGAGCGCGGGACGTCCTGACAGCGTGCTCACTGCCCTGACCACGGCTGCTTCTGCTAAAATCCCTCCATCGTTGAGCTTGAGAGCATGAATTCTTAAAGACTGGTGGGGAAACAGAGGAGCTCCTTACCTTCAGGTTGAAATGGGCTGTGCATAAAAGATTGGAGTCTCTGAGGCTTCACCCAGAAGGCAAAAGATAGGAGCTGAAGTTTGGTACATTTCACCTGAGGCTGCTGTCCTGACAATCATTTTTTGCTCTGAATTTTTTTTTTGAAGGCTTTGGCTGCAGAAATCGAGAAAAATCAAGCCAAGCTGGACCAGTGTCAGAAGTTCTCCCAGCAGTACTCAGCTGCTGTCAAGGTAAGGGCCCTTCCTAAACCCAGGGCACAGTTTGCACCTCGCCTGCTCTTCACCTCCTGGTTAGCAGAGAGGTGACTGTGTGTGCAAGCAGCCAGCAGGAGCTGGAGCTCTGAGGGTGCCAGTATGAAAGAAGTGGCTGCAGTGTCCTTCTCCCGCCCTGGCTGTGTTTGCAGGACTATGAGCTGCAGCTCATGACGTACCGGGCGTTTGTGGAGTCGCAGCAGAAATCCCCCATGAAGCGCCGGCGCATGCTGTCCTCCTCGGATGCCATCACTCAGGAGGTAGGGACCTGCCTGAGCCTCACGTCGGGGGCTGGGGGTTCTTGCACTCCATCCAACTGCCCAGCGGCCTCTGTGAAATGAGCTCCTTTCTGCTGAGCTTGGTGGATACAGTTTCCACCCTCGCTGTTTTTTCTAATAGCCAGAGAGGGTGGCTTAGTGCTCTAAGCACCAGGTATGAAATACCTGGGCTGCTGGGAACCCCTGGGCCAAATGCAGCGGGGTCAGCTCGGCCAGGTAAATAACCGGAGCGCCATGCAGCATTACTGTGTGTGCATCTGTGGGATGAGCCCTTTGGAGGCCCTGTCTGCTCTGTGTGGATATTAAAGATCCCAACAAGAGTTAAGAGTTGAGCGCCCGCCCCGTGTCCGTGACCAGAGTGTCCCCTCGGCTCCAGTGCTGTGCAGCATGCAGTGTGTGGCCATGTCCCTCCCCTCCGGCGTTGCTGCTGTCAGTAGGGCCGTGCTGGGGATCTTTCCAGGGCAGAGATGCTGCATCCGTGCCATGTGCTGTGCAGCGCAGTTCACCCAGCTCTGCTGGCTGTGACTGACGCACCGCCCTTCTCCCCCTTTGCAGTTCATGGATTTGCGCACTCGGTACACAGCTCTGGTAACGCTGACCACGCAGCACGTCAAGTACATCAGCGATGCTCTGCGGCGGCTGGAGGAGGAGGAGGTGAGGGCATTGCCTGGAGCTGAGCTGCATCCTCATCACTCAGACTCTCTTCCTAGCAGCGCAGGGTTGCTGCTCTGCTTCTCTAACATCTGCCCTCAGCTTTCAGTCCCACCTGTGTCTCAGGTGCTGCTCCTGAGAGACTCTGGAAATCTGGGACCCCTTTGACGCAATTTCTTTCTCCTCAATTTGCAGAAAGTGGTGGAGGAGGAGAAGCAAGAGCATGTGGACAAGGTTAAGGAGCTCCTGGGCTGGGCTGTGGGCCTGAAGCAGAGCGTGCAAGGCAGAACAGCTGCTGCCCAGAGCAGGGAGCTGGGAGACATCGAGAAGTCCATCTCAGAGCAGCAGGTAGGCAGGCACCTTCTGGGCCCACCTCTGACCCCACTCTTGTTACGTGTCCCCTGTCCTTGGTGTCACTGTGTTATTCGGCTTCCAGGAGAGCAGTCCTTCCTCTCTCATGGCCACAATCCTTGTGGGGGCAAACATGAGGTTGTTTGCTTAACTTCTGCTGTTCTTCCATGGCTGAATTAAGCTTCCTTCTGCTTTTTCAACAGGCCCTCAATGAGGAGCTGGCTGCAAAGAAAGAGCAGGTCTCTGAAGCCATCAAAACATCACAAATCTTCCTGGCAAAGCACAACCACAAGTGAGTTCAACCTGGGGAAGTGGTAGGTGGTGGCAGCAGCTGGACAGCTGAGTTATCCTGGGGTGGGCACTGATGGACTGGCATCCGTGAAGTCCAGCACCTGATTTCCACACAGCAAAGGGCCATTTTTCCTCATCTGCAACAGCAGCTACGAAATATGAAATGTTTATACTGTTGAGACAATACTTATACACTTCAGTGGTGATCCAGCCTGGTACATTTGGGGGTTTGGTCGTTATAATGCTGGTCAGCCTTTGCCAAGCACAATTACTCTCCCTGCGAGGAGCAGGGCAGTGGGAAGAGGGGACTCGTGGTGGGTTTGGCCTTTTCCTTTGGGAGAAGATCATGTCTGTTCTGTGGAGCTGGCAAATACTTTGTGCAGCTCCCCTGAGAGATTTCCCGTTCCCTTGCAGGCTTTCCCATCAAGAGAAGGACCAGATTTCAGCTCAGGTCGCTGCACTGAAGGACACGTACCAGGCACTCTGCACTGACACCACAGAGCAGCTCCAGCAGCTGCAGAGCCAGCTGGCTCAGGAGACAGAGCACAAGGTACTGAAAAAGGTGTTGTTTGGTTGTGTTTCACGTGGCTACCCACTGGCACGTGGTTGCCCTCCCATCTTTTCTGTCCAGGCCTCACCTGGGGGCTGGCCTGGTGGCTGGTGGCCCAGCAGGAGCCCTGGCACAGCTCACTGTGTTGTCCTTTGCAATACTTTGAGTCAGAGCTCGAAAAAGGGTTGGCTTGCTCACATGGTGGGCAAAGAGGTAAAAGGTCTTCAGTACTGAAGGCGCTTCCGCAGCAGTCTGCCTCCTCCATGCGATGCCCTGCTGACGGGGAGGGCTGGAGGCACAAGCAGGAGGCTTCCTGCAGGGCGTATTGCCTGTGCAGCTTCACGGCGTGGTGAGGGCTTTGTTGGGGTCTTGGCTGAAGGAAGACCCCCCCGGGTGGAGGGCTGTGTTGTCCGCCGGCCCCGCAGGGCTGCTTGGGGCCCCGCACGCCCCAGTGCTCTGGGCTCATCCTTCCTGCCTCTGTGCCAGCTGTCTGCAGTCATTCAGATATACATGTACGTGTTCTATAAGTGTATATACATGTGTCGGTGGATATATTTGTGTGTTTGCTTGCTGGCTCCCTGTACCCTGAAGCAATGACCTGCTCAGAATCTGGTTTTGGTGCTGGGTTGGTGAGTGAAGCCCTGTTCCAGCGGGCCATGGGCTCACCTGAGATCTGTCTCTGCAGCCTCCCAGCACAGCGCCTCCCTTCCACTCGGCCTCCCCAGCACTTTGGCTGTCTCCATGTGAGTCCCACCAGCGCTGGGCTGCAGCTCGGCCATGGCGGCTGGGAGGCGCCTGCCAGCAGGAAGGGCACTCGGTCCGTTCCCTCTTTTCCTGTTCCTCCCTCGTGGGCAGGAAAACGGCTGTGTGTGCAGGCTTTGCCCAGCCCTCTCAAGGCCACCTCCTTGTGGCGGGGCTCTGATCAGAGCAGCTTTCGCTCACGCTCTCAAAGCCCAAGAGATGAGGTGAGGGCCAGCCCTGGGGCTGTGCTGCAGATCCTTGGCCCGTCCACGAGGCTGCAGCGTGGCTGCCGTGGGTGCAGTTGCTTCATTGTACAGGGAGCATGAAGGACTCTTAACATTTGCTTGCTGGAAACATCCAACTGTCAAACAGACGTTATAAAGTTGAGAAGAAAAAAAAAAAGCAAAGCAGAGCGCGCTGAATTGAGCATGATGTGTCCATGTACAGTTTGTGTTTCATGTCAACTGTTTTTAAGATTAACTGACATCCTTGCTTACAAGTTTAACTAACCCTCCGGGACATAAGCAAACAAAACACACAGTGACAGAGGACGACCTGTGTGGGGGGTTCTTTTTGCAAACAAAACGGTCGCATGCTGGACGCTAACACCAAGCTTTACACTGTGTGTGATACGGCTGAACTGCTCCATAAGGCTCTGTCTTTAACTGCTCAAGGCACACCCTGCAACTCTGGTAAGTAAAAGCCTTTTACTCCCCTCCTCCCATCTCCTCCTTCATCTTTCTCTTCCACCTCTTCTTCTCTGTCTTTCCATGGCTTGTTCATCTCTGAAGGTGTGTGTCTGAGTCTGGCAGTGCCGTTGGTGTTCCCCGCACACCCACCTGCTCCATGGTGGGGGGCACTGGGCTGCTCTTAGGGTCAGGGCTGCTGGCCCCACCTGCTCCTAGGGTTCTGTGGTGCAGAATCACTCCTCCTCCCCCAACACGGTGCTTGACTCAACTCTACACCAGCTGGGAGAAGTCCAAAGGTCCAGAGTGCTGTTACTCTTTGCCATTAGTTCTTACCTTCCTTGCAAAAAAAGCCCCTCCAGAAATGCCAAAGTCCCAAGCCTGTCACTGTCCCTGTGCTGGGACGTACAACTTCTTCTGTTTCCTCCCTTGCCCCCACAGAGCACAGCTAGGTGCTGGCATAGGGCAGAGCAGCTGGACGTGCTTGGGGAGCTGCTGTGCATGCCAGGGCAGTGCCTGTGCCCCAGTGCATGGCTGGTCAGTGCTGCTGGGAGCTGAAGGCCTGTGGTGTTCCCTGGGTGTGTGGCACTAAAGGGCAGGAATTGAGCGTGGCAGAAGTCAGGGTGGAAACTGCACTGGAAGAGGTTCCCACCCACCCTGAAGGGACATCTGGGGTTATTCTCCTCTGTTAGTATGAACTGGGATCCGTGTCACCTTTCTGCTTTTAAAACTTGAGTTGTGGAACAGCTTTGGTGTCTGTGTCAGTTTCCTTCCCTGTTGCTCCATGGAGCATTAGGAATGCTTCTGGGTGTTGCTGCTTGCTGCTTTGCCGCATTACTGGTGGTAATGGATGTTGGAAGCATTTTGGTGCTGCTCTTGGTGATGGACATCAAAGCTGAACATCAAAACTTGCTGGCAGCCTGAAAGCTATCAAATCCCCCAATGTGTGTGCTGGGATTCCTGTGGAGTTGCACTTCAAACACTTTGGGAGTAGCTTTTGGGCCTGTTTGGGGTTTTTTTGGCCAATCCTTTCACCTCATGCAGTCTGAGTGCTGGAAATGCTTGATTTGGGTTTGATTCTTGTCCTTCTTTTTCTGTTCCAGGTCAACGAAGCAGTGGCAGGAGTGATCGATCTTGGGACAGTAGAGATATTCCCTGTCTTTGGTGCAATGCAGAGAGGTCTTATAGATCAGGAGACCGGCCTCGTCCTCTTAGAGGCTCAGGTGATCACATCCAACTTGGTTCTTCCAGAGACCGGTGAAAAACTCTCCTTGGAGGAAGGTCTGGCAAGAGACATCATCAACCTCAGGACTTTCCACGTGCTGCGGGAGCTGAAGGATGCTCTGCAGCGGGTGCATGAGGTCAGACGTGAAGGGAGGCAGCTCCTGCCTGCTGCTGCTGCGATAGAAGAGGGGAGGATTAGTGAGAGCACTGGGCTAAAGATTCTCGAGGTTGAACTTGTCACCGGCGGCTTTAAAACCCATCAGGGCAGAATCAGCATGCAGAAGGCTGTGCAAGAGAGGCTCCTTCCTCCCCAGCTTTACTCCAGGCTGCTGTCCCACCTGGAGAGCAGTAAGGATTTGATTGACCCCAACACTGCTGAGAAAATCAACCTATCTGAGCTCATGCAGCGATGCATCCTCCACCAAGACACAGGACTCAGGTTTCTGCCGGTCAAGCAGCTGGCAGGTGGGATGGTGAGCCTGAAATCAGGCAGAAAAGTCAGCATCTTCCGTGCTGTCCAGGAAGGGCTGATAGACAGACAGGTGACGGTGAGGCTGCTGGAAGCCCAGCTCTTTGCTGGTGGCATTGTTGACCCCAGGACAGGGCACAGGCTGGCTGTGGACGAGGCTGTGAGACATAATTTAATTGACCAGGATTTGGCCTGCACACTTCTAATCCGGCAGCTTCAGACAGGTGGCATCATTGATACAGTCACAGGAGAGAGACTGACAGTTGATGAAGCTGTAAGGAAAGAGTTGGTAGCACCACGGCTTGCTTTGGTGATCCTGGAATCCCTCCGGTCCTTCATGGGGCTCCTGTGGCCCGAGACAGGGGAGGTTGTCCCAGCTGCAGATGCTTCAGAGCAAGGGGTCCTGTCTACAGAGCTGGCTTACAAGATTCTCAGGAAGAGGCAGCTCATTAAGGCTGTCTTTATCCCAGAAACCACTGAGGTGTTGTCCTGGAAGAAAGCAGTGGAACATGGCATCTTAGAAAGAGATGTGGCAAAGAAGCTGAAATCCATGGTGATACCTGATGTGATGGGCAGCATGCAGCTGGCAAGCAGGAGCTCCTCTGGAGGGAGCCCTGCAGGGCACCAGGGACAGAGGGACCCTGAGCTGAGGAGTGGTGATGAAAAGCTGATGTTCCACTTGATGACCCACAGCTACATCAACATCCACGATGGGCAGAAGCTGCTCTTAGTAGATGGAGAGTTGAGCAACCTCACCAAAGACCTCATCCAGACCCAAGAAAATGGATCCTGTGCACAGCCACTGGAAGAGAATGAGAGCTTTGAAGAGACAAAGGAAACTGCAGTTCTTGAAAGAGAGCCTTGCAACGGTGTGGCTGTGCAGCAGCTTGAGCTGCAGCTTGCTCCTCCGCAGGAAGGAAGCAAGAAGATCCTGCCACCCAGATCCACTTCGGAGAACGGGGAGGTGGTGATGGGGCCTGGAAGGCTCCTGTTGGACCACGCAGGAGATGTCCTGCATGTGGAGGAGCAAGCGCAGGTTTGTACTGAACGGGCTACCAGCCAAAGTGAAACTGATGCCAAATCTGGGAGAGAGCAAATAGCTTCTACAAGCAAGGAGAAGCCAGGACAGCCCTGCAAATCTGGCAGTGGACTCAGAGAAACAGAGAAAATGATCATTAAAGCAGAAGAGTCCAAACCCATTGCATCAGATGGAGTGGAAAACATCAAAGATCAGACAAGAGCATTGGAAACGGGGGCAGGTGTTGTGAAAAGCGAGAGCCATTTGGTGGTGTCTATTGGCGCAAGCAGAGAGAGACTGGAAGTCGTGGCAGGGAGATCTCAGAGTGTGAAGGAGCCTGCATTAGAGGGAGAAAGCGTTGGGGAGAGTTACTTATTGAATGAGGAGACAGCTCAGAATGGCACTCTGGGAGGAGCGGAGGCTGTGCTCACCAAAACTGCAGAGGCTGAGCAAATGGAGCGCACTGAAAATACTGTGAGCGTATTGCACGTGGAAGAGGGACCGAGGGAAAAGGTGCTGGGTGGTGAGAGCGTTGGTGATGCAGCCCTGCCGCAGCCCTCGGAGCGGGACGAGGACGTTCTGGAAATGCTGCAGATGCAGCTCCAGAGCGGCGGCATTTTGTGTGAGCAGATGGGCAGAACGCTGCTTCTGAATGAAGCTGTGGCCTGCGGTGCGGTGCCCGGCCACACGGCTGTGAAACTGATGGAGAAAATGAAGATGTTCAGTGGCTTCTTTGACTCACACACACGTGAATCTTTAACCACTGAGGATGTCATTGAAGAAGGTCTGATGGATGAGCAGCTTCTGCAGAAGGTACTCGCGTCTGACAAAGCCATCAGCGGTGTTCTGGACCCGGGCAACAACTTTGTCTACTCCGTCAAGGACGCTGCTGCCATCGGCCTTCTGGACAAGGAGACGGCGATGAGGCTCTTGGAAGGGCAGGTGGTTACCGGGGGCATCGTCGACCTGAAACGTGGCAAAAAAGTGTCAGTCACTTTGGCTTCAAACCTCGGCCTCATCGAGCCGGCGAGTCAGAAGGAGCTGGTCAAGCTGGAGAAGGCTTCCAGAGGGAAGAGCACTGATGAGGCCACCAGGCAGAAGCTCCTTAGCTTACAGGCTGAAACCAGCGGGATTGTGGATCCCCAAACCAAGCAGCCTTTGACTGTTGCGCAGTCTGTTGAAAGAGGGCTCCTTGAGAGAGAAAAAGCGTTTCAGCTGCTGACCAGCCAGATCGCAGGTGGGGGGATCCTTCACCACGCGTCTGGGATGAGGCTCTCGGTTGGCGACGCAATGAAACATGGTTTGATCGATGGAGATCTATGTGATGAACTCACGAAGGCTGAAGGCGTTTGCCTGCAGGAATGCATCCACCCAGCAACAAAGGAAAAGCTGCCCTTGCCCCGGGCGGTGGCAGCAGGGATTGTTAGCCCGGAATTCCAGAGGAAAGTGCAAGAAATCCAGGCTGGGACTGGAAGCGTTATCGATCCCAGTTCTGGGCAGAGAATGGCACTCAGCTGGGCAGGGCGGGATGGGCTGCTGCCCCAGGAGGTGGTGGAGAAAGCCCTGTCCTCCCCGGAGCTGAAGCACGGCATCGTCGACCCCGAGAGCTGCATGGTTGTGCCCTACGCCGAGATGGTAAAGAAGTGCAAGATTGACGTTGAGTCCGGGCAGAGGTACCTGGAGGTGCATCCCTTCAGAGCCATGCGGGACGAGGCGTCGGGCTGGGCGCTGACGTGCGCCGAGGCGCTGCGGCTGGGGAGGGCCGACCCCCTGCCCACACTGCGGCTGCTGCAGGGCCAGGCTGACAGCGGGGGCTTCGTGGAGGGGGCTGTCAGCAGCAGGCTGTCCCTGCAGGCCGCTCTGCAGCAGGGGCTGCTGGACGAGCAGATGGCCGTGGTCATCGGCAGCAGGCAGCTGAGGGCCGGGGGAATTGTGGACGCCGGCAGCGGGAGAAGACTGGCGTTAGAGGAGGCTGTTGAAAAGGGGCTGATTGGCCAAAGGTTAGCTGCTGCTATTGAAGAGGCACAAATGTCGATGGAGAACGATGGCGCTGAGGCCCTCATGGTAGATAAAACCCACCTTTCCCAGGAAAAGATGGAGACGGCGTCTCCAAAGGAGGAAGGTGAGGTCCTGCGTGGCGGTGCTGCCGTGTCCGCCGGCACAGAGCACAGAGCCAGGCCCAAAGCTGCGAGTTCCCCAGCAAAAGGAGGGAAACCAAAGCTGATCCCTCTGGAGGCTTCAGAGGAGAGTGTGAGAGAGCAGCGAGAAATGGGCGAAATGATTCCAGGATCCTCAGCACTGAGTGCAGCATCTCTCTCTGTTGAGGTGGTGAAGGAGGCGGCAGAGACGGGGACTGCAGAAAGCAGCTCCCATGTGTGGAAGGGAGCGGGAGGGGAAGCAGCAGAGCTGGGGACAAGGAAAGTATTGGGATTGGAGGAAGAGCTTCGTTGCACAGAGGATGGCGAGGAGAGGAGGAAGGGGTTTGTAAGCACGGACGGAGCTCTGGCAGGAGGTGCAGCGGCAGCTTCTGAGCAAAGGGAGAGGGTGGGCAGCTGGGAGCAGGGAGCGCAGGTGACTCCCAGGGAGTCTGTGGGTCTGGGAAAGGAGGAGTTGGGTCCTGCAGCGCCCAGAGGATCCCGCAAAGCCGATGTCCCTGTGAAGCCTGCAAGAGACAAACCGGCAGATGGAAGAGCTGCGGGAGAAACCCCCACACTGGAGACAGAAGGTCCGGGTGGTCAGGAAGGAACAGGGGAAATTGAGCTAAAACCTGCCCAGAAACAAAAAAGCAGGAAAAGGAGAACAAAGCAGATTGCTGTCTCAGGAGACAGTGCTCAGCTGGAGAAACCTGTAGAAAAGCAGTCCCTTCCCATTCCAGTATCCAAAGAAATTCCAGGGAAGGAGGAAGAGGAGGAATTTGTCTCAAGAGCTCCAGAGCCAAAGCCTGAGGCTGCCAGCAAGGAGCTTCCTGCTGGGTGGGCAGAAGATGCAGCCGAGCAAAAGCAGATGGAGAGCAGCAGGGATGGGAAAGCAAAGCCAACCCTTGGGAAAGATGCAGCAAAGCTGACGGGGGTCCAGGTGCTCCCCACCCCCCCAGAAGCAGGGGAAGCAGCAGCGGTGCTGAGAGCTGCAGTCAGAGTGGGGCCCCATTCCTCTGCGGCGTTGAAGATGGAGGGGATGCTGAGCCAGGAGGAGGCTGAAGTGAAAATCACCAGTGATGCATTTGTTGCAGTCAGCGAAAAACCAGATGAGTTGATCATCAGAGAGGAACCCTCAGAAGTTTGGGACACCTGCATCCCCCCGCCAGAGCAGCAAGCAGCAGCCATCAGCACAGACCGAGCTGCTGTGCCCACCGCCCCTGTGTCCCAGGGGGATGAGCCCCAGGGAGAAGCAGCCCAGGAGAAGCCCCGGCAGGCGGGTCCTGGCGATCGGGGGCTGCTCCTGCCAGTCATCGTGGAGGGAGAGCTGCTGGAGACCTCGAGCGACTCTGCCAGACCTGCCCAGGTACAGTACTGCTGTCTGCTATTTCAGTGCTGGTTCTGAATGATTTGTGTGTGATTTGCCCCTGGCTCTCAGAACAGAAGACGGTCAGAACGTGAGGATGGACGTCTGGGGCTTGATCTTACAGGATCAGCTGCAATGGATTTGGCAAACGACGCAGTGATGTATGACTGAAATCACTTCGTGTGGCTTCTTTTTGCTGGAGCGTTGCTTACAAATGACTAATAAGTAGGACCTTTTTTGGCACTTCTACTGTAAAACAATAGAGCTCTTGCCATTTCTAAGCTTGTGTTGGAAAAAAACCCATGTGTTTTATTTTTCCTGTAGTAAATCTTGGAGATAAGGCCAGCAAGTGGAAAGTCCCTGAAATGGAATGCTATCAAGGGATTTCTGCTTTTCAGAATTACAGCCATTTGTTTTCTCTTTTCTCGAAATCTGAACTTTTGTTTCACTGTCGGATTCTGCAGATCAAGTTCAGCAAGAAGATGTGCCTGGAGCACGACGAGAAGCTCATCTCCTATCTCTCTATGCTGCGAGACATTGAGATGAGAATTAAACGGGTGCAGCCGGCGGGGCAGAACGTGGATGTGCTGCAGACACTGCTGCAGCAGGCAGAGGTGAGCACAGCCCCAGCATTTGTGTGCAAACCCCATCTCTCCCTGCTCTGACGCTCCCTGAGCATGGCTGAAATGAGTTTTACAGCCTGGAGAAAAGTAGTCGAGTGCTGGCAGCCAGCAGGGCTGCACGGACGGGTCAGTTGCAATGAATCTTTCCAGCAGACAGAGTTTGGAGCTGGTTCTCCCAAACCTCTGCAGTGCTGTCAGTTCAGCAGCAGGAAGGTGAAGTCAGCGTATCAGAGCCATAACGACGCTGTTTCGCCCCAGGCCCTGGATGCTGAGCTGCGGGAGCTCAGCTTTCCAGTGAATCAGGAGTTGGACGCCGTGAAGCGGATCGTGGCCAACCCGCCTGAAGAAGTCCCCGAGCAACTACTGAGAGCTTTGGAGAAGGATGCCAAGAACCTCCAGAAGTCTCTGAGCTCCGCAAGTGATATCCTGGAGTCCCGGCTGCAAAACCTTCGTGGTGCAGCAGAAACCCAAAAGGTAGAGCCGTGCTGTCCCTGCTGCCTTCTGTCCCGCTGCCCTGCCCAGCCAGGGTTTGTCCTCCCCTCTCCATGTGTAAGTGGGGCATTTCTGTGTTTCAGGCTGAAATCACAGCACACCATGAGACCCTCCAGGGGAAGCTGCAGGAGCTGCTGTGCTGGGTGTCCGGCACGGCGCAGGCGCTGGACGGCAGCGATTACCAGCACACGTTGGATGTGAGCAGTCTGAGTCGCTGCCTCCAACGCTATCAGGTAACCATGGCGATGCCCCCAATCCTTGGCGATGCTCCCAATCCTTCCCTGTGGATGGAGATGCTGTTCTCTGTGCGGAGGAGAAGCTGTTAATTCTGCTTCCCTCCGGAGCCTCGGTGGGTTTGCTGTTATCCTTCATCACAGAAGGAGCAGAGATGCTGTGTTTGCTCCAAAGTAATTTGTTTCCACAAAGCGTGAACCAAATGCTTTGGCCATTTGGGGAATGACTGCACGTGTGTGTGGTGGAAGCTGAGAGATCCATGGGATTCCCGTGGGGCTGAGAGCTGCTGCCTTGGGGGGCCCTGACAGCCCCTCCGTCACACCACTCCACCGGCACTGTGAGGAGCCCAGAGCCCCCCACTGTCGTTCATGTGGCAGTGGCAGCTCTCGAGATTTGGTCAGCTCAGCATTGCTGGCAGCTGAAACCAAGGGGATGAAGGCTGTGTGGTCGACGGGGTTGCCTGACAGGCCCTTCCCTTCCCTTCCCTTCCCTTCCCTTCCCTTCCCTTCCCTTCCCTTCCCTTCCCTTCCCTCCAGGAGCTGAGTGAGCCCCTTGCTGACACCAAGTCCCAGCTCGACGCCACCGCTTTCGACATTCAGTTCCTTATCTCGGAGCACGCCCAGGACCTGCGCCCCCAGCAGAGCAGGCAGCTGCTGCGGCTGCTCAATGAGCTGCAGAAGGCTTTCCGGGAGCTGGCGGGGCGCGTGGCGGCGCAGGTGGAGGTGCTGCAGGTCTGCCTGCAGCAGGCGGAGCGGACGGATCAGGTGAAGGTTGTGGGACATCGTCCTGCCTGCAGTTTGCTCGCTGAAGCGCTTTCTGGCCACAGGAGCGTGCGCTGAGCCCCTGGTTTGGGATGTCACCTGCATGCCACTCAGTTTACAACTTCTCACTGCACATCATGAGCTTCCTCTAAAGTCTTTCTTCTTCCTGCCACGTAGCTCCCAGGTGTGAAGTTGCTTTCCTTGCAGAAGGCTGAGCCTTCCTGAGGTGTGGGCGGCACAGTCCTCTGCTGCCATTGTATCTTGGGCCGGGTGGGACAAGCCCTGATCTCTGTAAGCCCACCAGGAAACCCCTGTGTGTAGCTGGCACCACAGCTGGGTCCTCGTGTCCTATTGTCAGAGCATGAGCAAGGTTTTGCTGACCTAGAGAAATCGCTGATGATGCACCAAGGCAGCAAGCAGCTGCAAAAGCAAGTGCCCAGGTCCTGCTGCACTCCAGCAGCACCTATCACTGCATGGATCCTCTTGTTCCAGACCACATTAATGTGGTTTTATTAACAGTTGATCTGTGTAACTCTTGCCTGTCCCATCTGGAGTGTGTGTGTGTATTAACCAGTTTGCTTTGCTTTTTCAGATTGAGTGTGCACCCATCCTAACCCAGGAAGAACTCGCTTTGCAGCGGAAGAGCTCTTAAGAAGGCTCTTTCAGTTTGCTTCTGTTGTTTATCTTATGACTGTGAGACGCAAGCACAGTGTTTTGCACAAGTTTGTACATCGCGTTGTGAAATGCCCAGTGAAACACAAACCTTCACCTCCCATGGGGAAGGGGAGAGAAACGGTGCAGGGACTCTCAGGCCACATCATGCTCAATTGCTCAAACAGGCGCTTCTGTTCTCCAGCAGCAAAATGTGGGAGCTGGGTCAGCTGCAGAAACGCTTCCTCTCCCCTGGGCTCCCTCTCCAACCCCATGTACAAAAGCCAGCCCTGGGTCAGCTGGGGCTCCACAGTGGTGCTGCCCACTGCCAGGCTGTTAGCTCTCCACAGCTGAGTTTCTGGTGCAGTTTTCCTGTTCAGAACATTGGATGGAAGAGGCACAGAAACTTCTGGTGGCGCTCTCCCAGGAGAGGGCTGTGTAAACTTTATCTGGATGGGGTTCTTAAAAAGCAAAACAAGAGACACCTGCTTGAGTGGTGGCAGATGTGCACTGCAGTCCCCCAGCACTGTGCTGGGCTTTGGACCTCAGCCCCGTTCCTGCAGTGTGTGAATGTGAGAGGGGGAGAGAGCCCAGGGAGAGCTGCAGAAGCCAGTTTCTGTGCTGCATCCCCTCCAGGAAGGTGCTCCAGCTGTAACCTCGTGCCTTGCTTTTCAGCCATGCGCACAGCGAGGCGCAGCCCCGGCACTAACGGCTCTCTCCCCCTCTGCTCTGACCGCAGACACTGCAGGAGCAGCAGGCAGCCTGTGCACAGAACCTGGCCGAGCTCAGCTCCTGGCTGGCAGCGGCCGAGGACACGCTGGTGGAGCAGCAGCGAGCAGCCAGGCAAGGAGATCTGCCTGCCTTGCAGCAGAGGCAAAGCGACGTGAAGGTCGGTGCTTTGAAACAGGACGCTGGGAGGGTTGGTGCTGCCTTGGGAATGTCCTGATGGGGTCGTGCTGTTGTCTGCCCAGGAGCTGCAGAGGAGCATGCACAGCCGAGCCGCCTCCTTTGCCAGCATCATAAAAAGCACAGAGGAGTTCTTGGAGGAGAACAAGGCAAAGATGGAGCCCGGAGAGCTGGCAGTACTGCAGGAAAAGCTTCAGCGTGCCAAGGAGCAGTACCAGTCCCTGCAGGAGAGGACAGAGATGGCTCAGAAGGAGCTGGAAAGTGCTGTGACTGCTGCAGTGCAGCAGGAGACAGAAAAGGTAACGTGTGAGGAGCTGCAGCCCTGTGCCTGGCTGAGAGCAGTGAGGGCTGCTCAATGGAACCGGGCTCACTTGGAGCCCTGAATGAGTCAAATGATGCACTGTTCTCACTGCCCTCGCGTTGCCCCAGTTGTGGAGGATGTGTGGTCACAAAGTGGTTGAGCCTTAGGGTGGGCACAGAGCGCCCCCACACACCTGTGAGATGTATCCACAGCTCTCCGGGGTGGAGGCTGCCTGTGGCCCCACGTTGCATTGGGGTGAGAAGCAGCATTTTGCTACACGTGGATAAAAGGAACCATTCTTACCCAGAGCCTCTGTGATTTCAGGTGAAAGCTGCCAAAGAGCTGCAGGAGAATAGCAATAAGATTGATGCGCTCCTGAGCTGGGTGGCATCGCTGGAGCAGAAGGGAGAGCTCCCACAGTACAGACCACATCCTGCCGAGCGAGCTGGGAAGGGCGCAGATGACATCCCTGATGGGCACGTGGTGGGAGCAGCCAGCACTGCTGAGAGCCTGGATGAGCAGTACGAGGGGCTGAAGGTCAGGGCTCATGTCTCATCCCCTCAAAGCTCCCTGCCTGTGGTGCCTGTAGGTTGGGTGATGGATGGGTCTGGCCTCCGGAGCGCACGCTGGGGTGGTTTTCCTTATGGGGAACTCCTGGGAAGTTCCTGCCTGACCTGAAGGATGCGTGGTGAGCAGAGGTGGGGCTGGCACCAGGCACGGCGCAATGGGCATAATGAGAGAACGGTGCCCTTAGTGAGAAGGGGTTACATCTGTCCTGCCTCATTAGCACTGCGGTGTGGCAGACAGGGCTCGGCCGCACACACAGCCTGCCTGCACCCATCTCACGTGCTGTGGGGGTTCAGTGCAATGTCCTCGGTCACGGGGGTCACCGCTGCATGTTGGCCGGTGTGTTCCAGGCCCAGCACCAGGAGCTGCTGTCCCAGCAGCAGGACGTCATCCTGGCGACGCAGGCAGCGCAGGCATTCCTGGACAAGCATGGCCACAGCCTGCCTGGGGAGGAGAGGGCCCGGCTGCAGGGCGGGCTGGCGGAGCTGAAGGAGCGCTATGCGGCGTCCCTGGCGCGTTCCGAGGCGCAGCTGAAACAAGTGCAGGTGCTGCGGGACGAGCTGCAGAAGTTCTTGCGGGACCACGGGGAGTTCGAGGCGTGGCTGAAGCAAGCAGAGCAGGACCTGGAGGGGATGTGCAAAGGGGACGGCGACCCCGCGTCCCTCCGGCAGCTGCTGCTCCGGCAGGGCAGCTTCTCTGAAGACGTCATCTCCCACAAAGGCGACCTGCGCTTTGTCACCATGTCGGGTCAGAAGGTGCTGGATGCCGAGGGAGCTGCTGGGGATGCGGGGTCATCTGGGAGCGTGGTGAAGAGCAAGCTGGAGGATGCCAGCCAGCGGTACGCCACGCTGCACTCCAAGGTATGGAGGGCTTTGCAAACCCTGGGATTCCTGGGCATTTTCTGTTTGCTGTCATCTTGTGTGCATCCTCCTCTTGTGTCTCTTTGCTGCCTTGCAGTGCACCAAGCTCGGCTCCCACCTGAGCACCCTGCTGGACCACTACCAGCAGTTCCAGGAGGTGGCAGAGTCTCTCCAGATGTGGCTAGAGGACAGCGAAGCTGCGGTTGGGAAGCTGCTATCAGAGAGCATTTCTTCAGATCCCACAGCTCTCCAGGAGCAGCTGGCCAGCACTGGGGTGCGTGGGGCTCAGGTCATTTCCTGGGGGAGTGCACGTGCAGAGCCTCTGCTCTGCAGCCCCAGTGCTGGACATCAGCAGCAAGGAAGAGATTCGAGCTGCTCTTATATTGTTGGGTGCAGTGCTGTACCTGCAGGCTCAGCAGTCACTGCAGGTTGGAGCCACGCTGTTCTGGGAGGTGCTGAGCATGAGGATGAGGGGCCAGAGGAGATGTCCCAGTGGGATGTAGGGAGGAAATTCCCCCATTGTGAATGCCCCCAAGCAGCCTGACCCAGTGCTGTGGTCAGCCCTGCCTATAGCCTTCTGACCTACATTGTGGGATTTTTTGATTAACTGGACAGGGTTTATCCTCAGGGTTTAAATGGAGCATCATGGGCGAGGGTCTCTTACATGTGGCTGACTGCCGACTTTGTCTTGTGCCAAAGCAGCAGCTGCAGGGAAACCTCGCTGAGCATCAGGTGCCAGTGGAGAAGCTCCAGAAAGCAGCTCGGTCTCTGCTGGAGGTGCAAGGAGAGCCGGCCCCTGACCATGGGCACATTCAGGAAACAACAGGTAAAACAACAACAGCAGGGAGCAGCTGCTGGTGTGGCAGGGATGGATGGGGACAGACTGGAAAGCAATGAGGGTGCATGATCTGTCACGTCTGGGGGACACGGGGCAGTGGTGGAGGCACAGCGATGGGGCCTTTGAGGTCAGCAAGAGCCTGGTGTTCTCTGCTCTCTGAACGCTCAGTGGGAAGCTCTGTGCCATTTGCTCCACTTTCCGCTGGTCTCTGCAGATGCCATCGTGAGCCGCTTCCAGATCCTCTCCCAGCAAATGGCCGAGCGCTCAGACCTGCTGCAGAAATCCATCGCGCAGTCCCAGAGCGTCCAGGAGAGCCTGGAGAGCCTCCTGCACTCAGTAGCTGATATTGAGAGGAGTCTGAGCACAGAGCAGCCGGGCGCGCTCTCCTCCGCCTCCATCCAGGACTCCTTGGCCACCAGTGCGGTAAGGCTGCCTTGCCCCCAATCACAGAACTGTAGCGTGGTTGGGTTGGAGGGGACCTTAAAGCCCATCCAGTCCCAACCTCTGCCATGGGCTGATTGCCTCCCACCAGTTCAGGCTGCCCCTCTGTGGCCTCAAGCACCTCCGGGGAGGGTGCACCCACAAACGCGTGCTGCTGTGCCATGGGGCAGTGCAGCCTCTGTCCCTGCTCAGTTTTGTCCTTTGTGTGTGTGCTCCCACCAGAAGCTGAAGCAGGACATCGCCCGGCAGAGGAGCTGCCTGGAAGCCACCCGTGAGATGGTGACGCGCTTTGCAGAGACAGCGGATGGCAGCACGGCTGCTGCCCTGCAGGGCAAACTGGCAGAGGTGGCAGAGCACTTTGGAAGGCTGTGCCAGCAGCAGCAGGAGAAAGAGGAGGTGCTGAAGGCTCTCCTGCCCAAGGTGGAGCAGTACGAGCAGCTCTCAGAGAAGCTGCAGCAGTTCGTGGAGAGCAGAGCGCGAATGCTGGCATCCGGGAACCAGCCAGAGCAAGACATCGCTCACTTCTCCCAGCACCTCCAGGTGAGCTGTGCCTTCCCCTGCCCAAGGGAGGAAGTGGGTTCTGCCTGCACAGGGCTCCTGGATGCTGCCGTTCTGTGGGGTTTCATCCTGCCCACGCAGCCCCCGCTGCTCCCAGGCCGCAGGAACCTGCTGCTTGCTTGAGGAAGGGAGCGAGGCTGGAGCAGCTGAGGCCGTTTGCAGCCGTGAGAGATGGGAATGGCATTTCTTTGGATCCAGCCCAAACTTCTGACAGGATCAGTCTCCTAGGGCCCGATCCAAATATAGTGAGGATTTACCAATTAAAGCCTCCATTGGTTAATAAGCAAAACACCCAAGTGTTGGCAGCAAGTGCAGCACAGGATGTGACACAGCAGTGAGTCCTGGTGGCCAGCAGCGACTGTGCGAATTCTTCACTCAGGTTCCCTACAAGTGCTGTTCTGTGGGGCACGGTTTGCCCACAGATGCAGAAAAGCTCCTGCTGATGTTCATGCTATGCTGGGTTCGGGTTGGCCCATTTTGGGTTTCCCCATCATGTTCGCTGTGTGACTTTAAGTCAGCACCAGGGCAAGGCAGGGAGAAGTGGGATTTGGTCCTCAGCTGGTTGTGGGATGTGCTGAGCCAGAGCTTCAGGAGCAGCGGTCCTGAGTCCTACTGTCTGTCTGCCTCTGGTGCAATGCACGGTGCTGCCTGCAGAGGGTCTGCAGCTCACCAGGGCCATCCCCTTCATCCCCCTCCCCAAATCCGCTGGGGGCACAGCCAGCATCACCCTTTGCTTCTGGCAGGAGCTGAATATGGAGATGGGGCAGCACCAGGAGGACCTGGCTGCCCTGGAGCAGCTGGCTGTGGAGCTGGGTGCCAGCAGCTTTGTGCCCGGCGCTGCTGCACAACAGGAAAAGCTGCAGAATCTGAAGGAGGAGTTCCTGCAGCTGCAGAAGGCGGCAAAGGAGAGGTGAGCCTCAGCCTGACCGAGCCTTCAGCCTGAGCAGGGCCCCGTCTGCTCTCCTTTTGCAGGGGGGGCACAAGCAAAGCCTTCCTGCCTCCCCATCCCACGCCGGGAGCACAGCGCAGCTCTGCAGCTGACACGTTATAAAAAGCCCCGGCTGGGGGCGGCTGGAACGTTTCCCGGTGCTGCAGAGCCGCGTTCGCACATTTCCGAGCGCGTGGGCTGCCCGGCCCATCCTGCGGGAGCGGGCTGGGGGCATGGCGGGTGACGGGGCAGAGCAGGGTGGTCCCTGGTGTTGGGTTAGAGGTGCTTTAAAGCATCCTGAGCGTGGATCGGCCCTGGTAGCACGAGTAGCGTTGGAGCAGCAGCTTGCCTGTGTCTCTGGGGGGGTTGCAAGCTACATCTCCCAGCTCCCTAACTGCAAAGGAGGTTATGGGGCAAAAGCAGCAGAATTCCATGCTAACCCCTGTTGGTCAGCACCGTGCAGCAGGCTGCTCCCAGCCCCGGGCAGTGTGAGCCCCAGGCTGCCCCGCGCCCCGTGTTGGCCCGCATCGTGCACACAGTTCCTAAGCAGCATCTGCTGCTGATAATAAAAAGCTGGGTTCTTGGAGACACAACTGTGCTGCATTCAAGCAGCGGTAATTGCGAGGCAAAGCACGAGCTCTGACTGCCCAAAACCTTTTCACTCGCAGAGAAAGGGACGCCTCATCCTGCCAGGAGCAGCTGGACGAGTTCCGAACGTTGGTGGCAGCCCTGCGGAAGTGGCTGAAGGACAGCGAGGGCAAAGTGCCACCTGTGGACACCTCGCTGGGCACCCAGGAGCTACAGCAGCGCAGGCAGTGGGTCCAGGTGGGCAGAGGGAGCTGGAGAAGCTGCTGTGAAAATGCTGGAGTGGGGAATAAATCTCAGGGCTCAGTGTCCTGGGGGCACTTTGTGCTCTGGGTGATGCTTTCCTGCTGGACTGCAACCCCCTGTTGTGTGTGGACATCCCCTCGTGTGCAGAAGGAGCAGAGCAGTGATCCTCCCACATACAGCACGTTTCCCTTCCCTACTCCTCCCCTGCTTTGTCAGGGATTTACGATTTGTTGCCGTGTGCTTCTCCTTCCTAACATCAAAGGCAGCTTTAAATCAGGACATGTCCTGGGGACCCAAACAATTCCAGGGCCACACTGGGGGTCCTGCAGCATCCCTGTGGGTTGGCACGAGGGCTCTGTGGGATGGATATGCAGCGCTGTCAGAGCAGCCACTGACTGCAGCCTTTGCCCCCACACAGGAGCTGCTGGAGGAGTGGTCAGGGAAGGGCCCGCAGGTGGAGGAACTCAGCCACAGGGGGACCCTCCTGGAGAACCTGATTGTGGAGATCACGGCCCCAGACAGTCAGACCAAGGCGGGTGAGTGGCAGCCCTGCTCATGAGGGGGGCTCCTTCCTTCAAGGAGCTCCATGAGCAGCTTCTGTTAGCCTGCACGGAGCCAGAAATGGTTACTTCCCCGTTTAACCAAACTTGAGATGACTTCAGAGGTGGTCCAGGCCAGCAAGCGGTCAGGCTGTTTTTTTGTGCATCAGCTGTGTGCTCTGAGCCCACCAGCACGAGGCACAGCAGCTTGGTGCCCGGGGCTGCCCTATAGTGATCACTGTGTTGGTGCTCAGCACTGGAAGGTCTGGGCCTCATATACAGGTGTGGGCTCCGTATCCACTTGGAATGGGAGGCTGCAGTGCTCAGGCATGATTTACAGATCTCCTTTCTGGCTTTGAGTCTGTGAAGCAATGAGATTATGCCTGGTTTGTTTGGAAACTTCCAGCTCGTGAGAACAAGTCCCTGCACTCTCCCTTCTGATGGGCCTTTATGGGAATGTACAGTCTGTGCTTATCTTTTGGGGTTAACTTGAACAGTTCAATGGGGAACTTCCAAGAACAGCCTGCAGGGTGTGTGGAACCAGGAGCTGGCATGCATTACCAGACAAAGCTCAGCTTCTCTCTCAGAGCGCTGTCAGATATCTAAAAGAGGAGGGATGTAGGTCAGGTGTCAGGGATTCATGGGGGCTGTCGTTTGGAGCTGGCTCATCCCCTGCGTGGCACCACCAGCACAGGGGTCCCCTTCCCCTTTTCAAAGCTGGGGCGGTGTTGGAAGCTGCAGTCCCTTACACATGAGGGGCAGAAAGGGAGCAGCTGGCGTTTCTGAAGAATCCCCTTTTGATTCAAAGTGTAACTGTGATGTCTGCAGCACTTCCCAAAGCGGGACACGTGTGGTGCCTCCTAGCAGAGCTCTAGGGAAGATTTAAAGAGTTTTATTCCATAAGGAAAGGAGAATAAGAGGGAATTAATCTCTTCTGGGGAGCTAATCCCTCTGGTGAAGGCATTGCAAAGCCTCAGCTCACAAAATCACACTCAGGGCAGCAGCTTTGCGGGGCGCACAGCAGAGCCACATCCCGAGTGCCATCAGTGTGCTCAGTGCCACAGGGCTGTGTTGTCACACTGCGTTCCTGTCTGCTTGCTGCACGCAGCCCTAACACGTCTGTCTTGTCCCCCTGTCTGTCCCCGTCCCGTCCGCTCAGGTTCTGTGCTGCCCGCAGTGGGAGGGCCTCTGGGCAGCGTGAATGGATTCCACACTTGCAAAGGTGAGAGCGCTCCGCTGGCCGCGTCCCCATCCGCTTTGTCTGTGTATTTCCATCCGTGAGACATCAGCCCCAGTGTGATACCACCAGCATCCTGTGGAAGTGAAGTGAGCCTGCAGATGGGCTCGGTGACACCGGCGGTGTGGATGTGGGTCAGGCTGAAGGACAGGCATTGCCCCGACGCCGTCAGATGGTGCCAGGGCTGATAGATGGAGATTGTTGCAGGGCCTGCAGTTAAACCCATTGGTTCGAGGGCTTATAATGCCTTCCAATCCTTCCGACTGAAGAGCAATTTTAATTATTGCCCGATATCTGCTGTTAGGTCACCAGTTCAATGAGATAATAGGTGCATAAAAATGGCTTGGTATTTCGTGTCATGTTGCTTCGCAGAGTCTCAGCAGTGACACTGCAGCGGTGGGGCTCAGCTTGCATCAGTCTCACAGACGTGAGGACGTTTGCTTTGTTTGCAAACTGTCAACACGCATTGGTGGTGCTGGGGGAGAGCGCTGGGGTGACGCGATGGCAGTGAGTGACAGTGCAGCTCAGCCGGCTGCCTGGAGCTGAGTCTGTGCCTGACAGCGCCGTGCTCTGGGGCCGCACTTCTCATCCCACGCTGCTGTTTTTGGCAATAGATCTGACCGAGATCCAATGCGACGTGTCGGACATCAGCCGGCAGTACAAGGGTCTCGGCACGGCGCTGCGGGAGCGCCTGCAGCAGCTCTCGGCCATGCTGGAGAGGATGCAGGCAGTGCAGGAGGAGGCGGGCGCTGTGCTGCAGTGGTTGGAGTCAAAGGAGCGGACGCTGTCGGAGCTGGAAGCCTCCTCTTCACCCACCAAGACGGAGACCATGCGGGCTCAGGCCGAACACAACAAGGTAAGCGCATGAGCGCGAAGCTGCGTCAGGCGTCCTCACCAGCAGGCCAGGTGTTGTTGTTGTTGTTGCGGCCAGGTGGAAGTGCTGGATCTGCCCTGGGGCATCCCCTCGAGGTGGGGCAGAAGCCCACCCTCTGCTCCCGGGCGTTTATTTGGCTCTGCAGGGCTTGATGTTGCCCTCCCAGCTCCTTGTGGGAAGCCGTTTCCCATCCGTGGTGCTCTGGGAGCCAAGCTGGCTTGTGCTGCTGCTGCTGAAAAATGAAGCGATTCCATTAAAGTGCAAAGAGCAGAAATTGTTCTTCTCCAGCTTGTAGCTGCTGCTCCGTTCCTCCTCAGTGACTCTGTTCTTTTGCACTGTTTCTAACAAAGTTCCATCGGTCCTTTTCCAGGCATTTCTGGCTGAATTGGAACAGAATTCTGGAAAGATCCAGAAGGTAAAGGAAGCACTTTCTGGCTTGCTGGAGAAATATCCAGATTCTCCAGAAGCAGCAAACTGGAAGAAGATGCAGGAAGACCTGAGTAAGTGCCTGCAGCTCTGTCATGAGGTTTCTGTCTTGTGGCATCACATTAGAAGTGATTCCGGACTGCAGGACGACTCCAAAGTCACAGCAGAGCAGTCGCTTCTAATTAGAATTCAGTAAATAGCGAACTTATCTCCGAGCTGTCTGGTGCACAAGGTGTTCCAGAGACAAGCTCTGTTCTGATTAACGAAATCTCTATGATGGATGTATATTTTAAAGACTTGTCTCCTGAAATTACTTCTTTAAAAAAGAAAAAAAAAAAGCGTCAGCAGCATGAGTTGATTACTTTGATTAAAAGCTGCATTGCTAGATATGAAATTCCGGTCGTTAGTGAGGGTACTGCAGGTAATTGAATGTTGACTAAACAAGGCAATGTGTTTAAAAAGAAGCCCAGAGTCCCTGCTTTGAAATGGCAGGAACACGTTTATGGAGTTCTCCATCCAGGAGATACGAACGTGGTGTTTGAGGGCTGACACACATGGGAGCACCCATTTATCGGAGCTGTGTCTGAGCCGGAGGTGTGAGGGGGCTCTCCAAGGTCACACGAGCTGGAGGCAGCAGTGCCTGCATCGCAGCCGTGCTGCTTGTGAGGTTTATTCTGTGCGCTTCGAGACCATCAGGGATGGGTAGTGGCTTCTTAGACGGAGAGTGGCTAGAGCTAGGTGTAAGCAGAGGACTCTGTCCTGGGTGAAGCATGGGGAGGGTGCGGAGCCGTCTCAGCCCCGGGAAGCGCAGCCAACACCAGCTCTGTGCAGACTGCAGGTGGGAACGCGCCAGCCAGGCGACGGCCGAGCGGCAGCAGAAGCTGGAGGAGTCAGCCAACCAGCTGGCCAGCTTCCAGGCAGCCGAGGCGCAGCTGCGGCCATGGCTGATGGAGAAGGAGCTGATGATGAGTGTGCTGGGACCCCTCTCCATCGACCCCAACATGCTGAATGCACAGAAGCAGCAGGTCCAGGTGAGCTGGTCCTACCTCATGGGCTAGGGGTGAAGAAAGAGGTGCTGCTCGTGGTCCACAGGGTGGAAGATGGCACTCCTTCGTAGAATTATGTGGTCATGAAGTTGGAAAAGATGTCTGTGACCACGATGTCCAGCCATTGACCCATCTCCACCATGCCCACTCGTAGAACGCAGAATCATTCAGGTTAGAGAAGACATCTGAGGTACCAGTCCAACTCTATCCCACCCCCACAGTGAGGGACACTGACCGCGTCCCTCAGTGCCACATCTCCATGGTTCTGGAGCATTTCCAGGGTTGGTGATGTCAGGGTTCTGCTCCTAAGTCCACCAAGCCCTGCTGAGTGCAAACTGCTGTGGATAAGTTGAGACAGGTGCAGTGCTTGGTTCCCTGCTCTGGACTGACTCATCAGTGAATCACTTGGCCCCTGTTGGAGAGTGAAATTGCTTTAAACAAGACCTGTGCTGATGCTCTGCAGGACTTGCTGATGCTGCCCACCACTGGGCTGCCAGCCCCTACCGACTGCTTCCAAATACTGCCATGTCCGTAAGCGGCCGGCCGCGTCACGAAATGAAAGGCCCTCGTTAGCATAATTAGATTCCCATCTGACTGGTTTATGTTACATTATGCAGCAGTAGGACAAATAAGAGAGAAAGCAAAGTGCTCTATCACTGCAGTCACAGACTCTCAGCTTTTTGAGTTGCGTGGTCACTGTAAATTGCATTGCCCAATTGCCGTCCCATCCCAGGGGCATCTTGCTTTGCTCCTAGGGGCTCTGTGGGCTGGCTGAAGCCCTTGGAGGTCTGGTTTGTTTTGGCTGTGTGTACTTGGAGCTGTCAGTTTCATGCAAACATTTTTATGTTATTTCTGTTTCAGTTTATGCTGAAGGAATTTGAATCTCGCAGACAACAGCACGAGCAGCTCAACCAGGCAGCTCAGAGCATCCTCACTGGCCCCGGGGATGTTTCCCCATCCACCAACCAAGTGCGGGAGGAGCTCCAAGGGGTCAACCAGAAATGGTCCGAGCTGACAGAACGCCTCAACTCCCGCTCCAGCCAAATTGACCAAGCCATAGTGAAGAGCACCCAGTACCAGGAGCTCCTCCAGGGCCTCTCCGAGAAGGTGAAGGCGGTCGGGCAGCGCCTGAGCAGCCAATCTGCCGTCAGCACGCAGCCCGACGCCGTGAAGCAGCAGCTGGAGGAGACCAGCGAGATCCGCTCGGACCTTGAGCAGCTGGAGGAGGAGATTGCAGAGGCTCAGATGCTCTGTGACGACCTGTCTGTTCTGATTGGGGAGCAGTACCTCAAAGATGAGCTGCGGAAACGGCTTGAAACAGTGGCTCTTCCTCTCAAAGGACTGGAAGACCTGGCAGGTGAGACAGCACGGAGGTGTGAGAAGGGATGCTGAGAGGTCGAGCTCCACCCCTTGCTTGTTGCCAGAGGGCTCACCCATCACTGGGCTGCTAAGAATAGCAGGGAAAGGACTGTTTATCGTTTTTACTGAGGTGCTTTGTGGGTGTTCAAGTGGCTGTAAGCACGGGAGATTTCTCGCTCCAGGCATACCTGAGCCTGGACAGTTCATCCCACTGGTGGCATGCACTGCGCCTGGAACAAAACAGCTGTGCCTCAACTTCAGAATGGGGGCAGAGAAACCTCATGGCCACTCTCAGGTTGGGTTTCCCTTTCTGTGTTGTAAGAGATGGCGCTTAGAAATTGGTCAGGGCCGCAGAGACTACTGCGTTATCCCTACTGATTGCTTAAAAAATTCATGAACCAGTGAGCAACGCTGGTGATGCAATGGAAAACTCCTTCCTGTTAATCAAAACACAGTTGGTGCATCTGAGATGATTTTAAATAATTGCCCTTCGCTTATTTGATTCCAGCTTAATTGTTGCGTTCTAATCTTATTTCCATTGCAGCCGACCGGATGAACCGACTGCAGACCGCGCTTGCAAGTTCCCAGCAGTTCCAGCATATGTTTGATGAACTCAGGGCCTGGCTCGATGACAAACTGTGCCAGCAAGCTCGGAGCCAACCTATTTCTGCTAGACTGGAGAGGCTCCAGAGCCAAATTCAGGAGCAAGAGGAGTTCCAGAAGAGTCTCAACCAACACAGTGGCTCCTATGAGATGATCGTGGCTGAGGGGGAATCGTTGCTGCTTTCTGTCCAACCAGGGGAGGAGAAGACCGCTCTGCAAAACCAGCTGGTCAGCCTCAAAACGCACTGGGAAGAGCTGAGCAAGCAGGCTGCCGACAGGCACTCCAAGCTGAAGGACTGCCTGCAGAAAGCCCACAAGTACCAGAGGCACACAGAGGACCTCCTGCCTTGGGTGGAGGACTGCAAGGCCAAGATGTCGGAGCTGGAGGTGACGCTGGACCCGGTGCAGCTGGAGGCCACGCTGCTGCGCTCCAGGGCTCTGCTGAGCGATGTGGAGAAGCGGCGCTCGGTGCTGGAGATGCTGAACAGCGCCGCCGACATCCTGATCGACGCCTCGCAGAGCGACGAGGACGACATCCGCGACGAGAAGGCTGCGATCAACCAGGAGATGGACGCCATCACGGAGGAGCTGCAAGCCAAGACAGGCTCCATCGACGAGATGGCGCAGAGGCTCAAGGAGTTCCAGGAGAGCTTCAGGAACATCGAGAAGAAGCTGGAAGGGGCCAAGCACCAGCTGGAGATCTTCGAGGCTCTGGGGCCGCAAGCCTGCAGCAACAAGAACCTGGAGAAGCTGAGGGCGCAGCAGGAGGCGCTGCAGGCGCTGGAGCCGCAGGTGGATTACCTGAAGCACTTCACACGAGGGCTGGTGGAAGACGCTCCCGATGGGTCAGACTGCTCCCAGCTCCTGGGCCAAGCGGAGGTGGCTCAGGAAGAGTTCAAAGCAATGAGGCAGAAAGTGAATGACTGCTGCGTGCTGATGGAAAACAAGCTGGAAGGGATCGGCCAGTTCACGGGGCGGGTGAGGGAGATGTTCTCGCAGCTGGCAGACCTCGACGATGAGCTGGACGGAATGGGGCCCACCGGGAGGGACACCGACAGCCTGCAGTCCCAGGCAGAGGACGTTCGCACGTTCCTGGGCAAGCTGCAGGGGCTGAAGGCCGATATCGAGGCTTCTGAAAGTGAATGCAAGCAGATGCTCGAGGATGAGGGGAGCCCCGATTTACTGGGGCTGAAACGTGAACTGGAGACGCTGAGCAAGCAGTGCAGCAAGCTGACCGAGAGGGGCAGGAGCCGACAGGAGCAGGTGGAGACCACGCTGGCACGCGTCGAGGACTTCTACAGCAGATTGAAGGAGCTGAGCCACATGGCGGCGGCGGCGGAGGAGAGCGAGGCTCTGCAGGGGGTGGTGGGCACCGAGGTTGAGACCATCAACCAGCAGCTGGCCGACTTCAAGGTAGGTCCCTGTGCTGCAGCATTTCTTACGTGGCTCTTTGTGTTTGAGGGCTGTCCTTTGGTGCTGTGGTCTTTTGGATAGGACCGATGTCTGCTGGGAAGGAGCAGGGAACCGAGCTGTTGTGGCTCCGTTGGTTTTTTTGCTATGTTGGCATTTTGGATGCAGTAAAATGCTGTTGCTTTGGAGGATACAAAACCAACTGCTGGCCTTGATAGTCTGCGCTGAAAAGATGCAGTAAGATTTTGGGACTGGGAGGAAAAAGGTCTTTTCCCACCTCTCCTTGCAGTGTGTTATGGTGGGCCAGTGCCTCCTGGGCCTTTGGAGGTGGTTGATTGTAGGTTTGGGGGAGGAGGGAATGTGTTGGGATGTTGGCATAACCTGAGCAGGTCTTTCTACCTGGTGCACCGTTCCCACATGTTGTTCATTTCTGTGAACACACGTGCATCCATTTCTTCTTGCCTTGGGTGCAAATAAAGCCACAGATAAACTGTGGTGGGTGGAAGACACACGGGGAGAGACACCAAGGCAAAGTTCACTTTGTTGGGTGGTTTTCGTGTTTCCAGCCAAGAGCTGCTGGGGACCACTGAGGCTTGCATAAAATACTGAGAAAAGAGTTGGAGTGTGTTTGAGTACTGTAATTTTTTAAACAGCATTGTGTTGTTGGGTCATGCTGTTATTCTACGTTCATTACATTAACCTTCCTAGAGTTTTCTTGCTGTGAAACTCGTATTGTTGATGTGCTGATGATGAGCTGACTTACATCTCGCTGCTTGTTTCCTGGCAATAGCAGGGAGCGGGGCAGGGAGGCATTTCTACAGCCACTGACTTTTCATCTCATGGCTAATTGGTCCCATTCTATCGCCCTGTGAGTCCTGCGTTAGGTTGAGGTGTTTCTGTTTTGGGGGCTGCCCATCCAAAAAAACTCTGAAGCCTTACAGACTTGAGCTCCCATATGTTGCTGTTATCTTTCATGTTGGGCGGCATTAAAATTGTATTGTTTGGAAGGGATTTAATTTCATCTCTGAACACCGTGCAGTTGCTTGCACCAAGTATAGCCAGGGAGGAGTTTCCAGCCTGCGTGGCTGGTGGAGCAATGGCCCTGGGGATGACCCCTTACCCCGTGGTGCAACCTCATTTGGAGGCACTCATTGCACTTTGGGGTCTTTGTTTGAGGAAAGCTCAGTGGGGAAAATGAAAGCTGCAGCAGTGAGTTTTGCTCCTTCCTGCCTGAGGATGAACTGGGGGAGAAGCGGTGATGGAGCAATCACTGTTCGAAGCAGCATTCCTCTCATGCACGGTTCATCCAGAGAGCGAGGAATGTGCGTGGTGCAGAGCAGATCGTTGCAAAGCCTCCTCATGGGGCTCCCTCCAAGGGGTTGGGGTGGCTGTGTGGGGTGTGAGCAGATAGCGTGTCCTAGGGCATCAATTTTAATGAACAACTGTGTAAATGAGATGCAAATTAGGTGTGGCCCCAGGGCTCCCAGCACCTCACCAAGCAGCCCTGACAAAGGTGGGCACTTCTGGACTCATTGTGTCCATGTTTTAATCAAAGGAGATCTATTGAGGGCTGGCTGGGGCTGCAGCAGCTGATGTTTGGAGCAGCTGACGCTCGCAGCTCCCCATGTATTTTCCTTCTCCTGCCTGCAGACAGCCCTGGCTCTCACCCCGCCGGGCCCTCAGTGCACGGGTGGGATGGGGGAGGAATGGCAGCAGCACTGGGAGGTGATGGGAGCCCCGCATTGCTCAACGCGCTGTGCTTAGGCAAGGCTGTTCTGTGCCAACAAAGCTTTTGTGCTTAAGGATGGAGGGAGGGAGAATCCCTGGACAGCAGTAACTTATGGCACACTCCACTTTAGTAGAGTGGGCCGGGTTGCCCAGGGCCCATGGAGCCCTGCAGCACCCCTCCGTGCTCAGATGGAGCGGCGATGCCGTGAGCCGGGCCATGAGCAACGTTGTCATCTCCCCATTCAGATGCTGCTCTAATTCTGCTCCAGGTTCTCCCCGTTTAACCCTAATTAGCCCTGACCGGGGAGCGGCTGCTGCTCCTGGTGAGCCCCGGAGCGGCGGTGGGGTCCTCCCAGGGGAAACCGTGGTCCTGTGTGGGATCCTCCTGGGGAGGGGTCCCGTGGTCCCATACCTCGCAGCCCCAGTGGTATTTTTCACCCTTCTGTGCCCCCATAGGAATGCTCAGTGGCTCCGGGCAGCTGGGTGGGTCGGGGCAGGAGTGGGGCGCGTGGCGGTGCCTCCTCGTTGAACGCCTTCCAAACCTACTTAAAGTATCTCTGGGCATTATTTTGAGCATCAGCAACACACGCAGAAATGCCTCCTCTCTGACAGCTGCTGAGCTGCCTTAAAGGCACCATCTCCTTGTTGGAAAGGCAATGATAAGGGTGGGAGTGGGCTCAGCAGCTGTCCCCACCTGCTCTGTGCGCAGGGTTGTGGTCACAGTGCTGTCACCAATGGGGCTGTCAGCAATGGAGCTGCCCAGGTCCCAGCCCACAGCACCTCGGTGGCATTTGGCACAGTTTGGTTACTCTGTTCGGCCAAAGCGAACCCGAGCAGAAGCTGAGAGCTGCTGAGACCGACCTGTAGCAAGGTTGTGTTCTCAACTCACAACACTGCTCTGCTGAGATCTGACAGAGCCTTTTAGGGGTCAGCTTGGGTTGCTATTCTGAACCCACCCACACGCTCATGCCTTGGTAACTCTGCCAGGGGAGATGTTCATAGGAATGTCCTCCTGCAGAGGAGGTTCATCAGCTGGTGGTGGTGTTTCCAGGGGATGCTAAAAATACTGCGCTGGGGCCCAGCACAAGAGAAGGAGGAGGAGGAGGAGGAGGAGGAGGAGGAAGCAGAGGAGCAAGGGTGGGACGTGGCCCCAGGGGCTGCAGTGGAGTGAGCCCTATGGCCAGGCCTGCCCAGCACCGACCGTCCGGCGTGGGGCTGGGGGTGGCTGAGCAGAATGGAGGCTGCGTGGGGAGCAGCTCAGGCTGCATTACTCAGCGCCGCTCACGGAACAATTGCCAATTCTTCTGCTGGAGGAGTGATTTAAAATGTCTCCCATCCAGAGGATTCTCGGCATGATAACGCGCTTACCTCACTTCTGACAGAGCCCTCCATTCACCGCCCCATCACTCAGCCCTCCCTGCTGACCCCCACCCCACGTAGGACAGGACGGCCGCAGGGCCACACGTGGGTCCAGCTCTAGGGGTGGGGATTTGGATCCCAGGTGAGGCGCAGGCTCTGCCTCCCACCTTGGGCCCCTCCGAGGCTGGGCACCACTGGATGCCGGGTTGTAGGGCAGTGCTAAAAGCTCTGTGCAAAGGCAGCAGTGGATGAATGTGTGGGGGCCGACACCCAAAATCAGTTTGAAGGCAGCCTTGAGCCAGGCAGATGGGATTATCATGGAGCATACAGTGAGCTCCAGGCTGCCCACGCAGCACCGCACACCTTACAGTGCACAGAAACACCAAATCCAGAGATACGGCTAAAGGAGAGAGTTTAGAAGGGGAAGAGCAACGGCACTGAAAGGGAGATAAAGAAATCCCTCTGAACTTAGGACAAATGCAGCAAAAGCCGTACAGCATGACTTGCCACCTCCCTGGCACAAATCCCAGTGAAACCCAAATAGCTGCTTGTGTGTTTAGCTCTGGAGGCACTTTGCACCATCATTGTAGAGGCCAAACCCACAGCAGGTGAGGATGAGGAGCCCCGAGGATGAAGAAGACGCTCGGTGCGCTCACAGCGATGTGTCCATCAGACACTTTGTGCTGTCTCTGTGCTCTCGTGATCATTACACAAGGCAGCTCCCTCATTTCCAGCTGCTGAGATGCATTATAAGAAAGCTAAAAATACATTGGTTTCCAAAGCCCGCTTTCCCATGTAAGCAGGGGCCGCAGCAGGATGTAGCGCAGTCGTAAACAGGGTGACATCACCCCGTGACGGGGCGGCACGTGGACCCTGCGCTCCGGAGATGGCGACCATATGAGGAAGGCTGGAAACCTGTGGCTCGGGATGCTCCTCCTGCAGCCTTACAAGTCTGAAAGATCCTCTGAGAGGGGAGTTGGAAGTTCTTCATCCTGAGGATGTGGCATCGGGGGAACCTCGGGGCGGCTCTGGGGTGACCTGTCCCTCGTGGTGGGCAGCACCTGTGGGACTGAGGTTACATTTGGCTCAATGAGGCTCAAGGAGAGGGACACCGATGGAGCCAAAGCCACGTCCTGGCGACTGCTCAGCCTCTGCCCATCCCGCTAGCTGTGCTACCAGCTGGGGCTGCAGGGCTGCAAATCTGGAAGCTCTATCAGCCGTTATTTCAGTAACAGATCACAGCTGGCAGAGCTCCACATACCAGAGCCGTGCAGACAGCAAAAGAGCAGAAATTCATACTGGAACTCCTGTCCTGCCCTGTCCTCCCATCACACCAACCGAGGCGACAGCAAAGCCCTCAGCACCCCTTGGCCCCGTCACTTGTCCCCCCCACTGTCCCTGCCCACTGGGGGCAGTGCTGGCTCTTGGTGGCCCCATGGCTGTCCCCATTGCTGGTGGCAGTGGTGGCCCTCAGTGGCTTCTTGCCGGCTCACGGAACTTGCAGGAGCTCCAGCTCAGCTCTCAGGCGAGGCAGGGCAGGTTTCTCGTGGGCTTCAGTGCTTGCTGAACGTTTCTCAAACCGCTTTAGCGATGGGGGAGATGTGTTGGGGAAGACTTGGCTTGCTGTCGGCACGTGACTTAGTGAGGAAATGGGAAAAGAATTTCTGGCTGTGAAGCCGTCAGCTCCACATCGAGAGCGTTCCTAGGAGTGGAACAAAAAGCCTCCGCGCCCGGCCAGGATGCCTGGGATTCCTGCTGGAGGGGCTGCAGCCCTAATGGCCCCACAGCGCTCTGCTGGTGGGCAGCTGTGCTGGCACGGCGCAGTACGCATGGCACAGCGTAGCTGCCATCGCCTGGTGCTGCAGCCTGGGTGAATGACCCACCCCAAAGTGCAGAGCTGTGGGTGCCGAGCTGAGCCCCACTGCTCAAAGGAGGGTCTGGGGTGGCAAAGCAGCAGGCAGGGGGTGGCCGGGGTCCAGCACCTCTCGATCTGCTCCCAGCACAGCATGTCCAGCTCTTTTCCTTGGCTACGTTGAATTGTGGAAATAAGAAAAGGGATTTCCTAAGATTCCCCATCGTGTGCAAAGAGCTCGACTGAGTGCTTCAGGCAATTAGACACATTTCATAACGCTGGAACCTTTCTCCTTTCCTCATTTCCACCTCTGGGGAGGGAGGGCAGGCGCTGTGGGTGCGGCGTTGGACTGGTTTGGCCACAGTTCACCGTCCCCGTGGAGGAGCTGCTGCTCCCACGGAGCAAAGGAGCCGGGTGCGTCGCAGCTGCTGCTTTGGCCTCGGCTGAATCCCAAAGGTTTGGAGGCAGCAGCACCTGCAGCTCGCCCGAATCATCGGCTCCCAGCCCTCCTTGGCTCCGGTTTCTCAGCTCAGTGGAGTTGCAGTGCGGGGCTCCGTTGGGGCGCAGGCTCACACCGCCCCTTCTGCAAGCGCAGCACCTGCCGTGCCGCTCGGCAAAGCGCGTTGCTGCGTGCAGCCTGGGGGTCCGTTGCCTGGAGATGCGCTGGGGCTGCTCCAAGCTCTCGTTTTCTCTCCAAGTCTGTGACTTTGCTCAGCATCGCTCCGGAGCAGTGAATCACGCTGCTGCTCCCCCCCACACCGCCCCCCGCCCCTTCCCGGCTGTGCGGGAGCCCTCGCACGCGGTCCAGGCTCCGGGACCCACATGCATGGGGGCAGCGGGGCGATGGGCGCGGGACAGAGCCGGCGCTCGTCCTGGCGGGACGGGAGCTGAGCTGCGGTGGCAGCACGGCGGCAGCCAACGTCCGTGCGGCTCTTTGTTGCCCGGGATGGCGGCGAAAGAGGCCCGGGCCTCTTATTAGGGTCGGGCAGCCCCTCGCTCAGCCCGGCAGGAGCTGTCGGAAATCCGGTCCGCTCCTCCGGTATACAGCCGCTCCGGGCCTCCCTCCGCGGACAAAAGCGACCGGGGCGCGGGGGAGCCGCCGCCGAGCAGGGCGTTGCTGCTCTTTGTCGGGGGATTTGCGCGCTGCCGCCTCCCCTCGGAGGAGGAGCTCCGTCGGAGCGGGGAAGGGCCGCCCCGGGCCGCCGCGGAGAGCCCCCCGGGTCCGGGCAGGGGGTGCCGGAGCGGAGCCCTGGGGGGACTGCGGCGCCCGGGGAGGGAGGGATGAAGGAAGGGAGGCAGGGAAAAAGGGAAGGAGGGGGCGGCCGCCCGCCCCGCCCCGCCCGCGTCGCCGCCCCCCGGCCGCCCCCGCCCCGCCGGCCCTCCTCCCTCCGCCCGCCCTCCGCCGGAGTTGGCAGCGCCGCGGGAGCCCGGCGCTCTCAGCGAGAGAGGAGTGGGGCCGCGGCGTGCGCTGCGCGGCGGCCTTTTGTTCCGGCAGCGCCAACTTCGGGCTCGGCGTCGGAGGGAAGAGCGGACAGGAGCGGAGCGGCGGACCCGCGCCATGCCGTCCGCGGCGCCGGCCCCGGGCTGCCCGCGGGGGCGGCTGCACGCCCGGCCCGGCCGCTGAGCACAAAAGGCGGAGGAGAGACGGGAGCGCGGCCCCGGCTGCAGCCCC